GCAAGTATTTTCACTAGTTACTGACACTATGTCTATAATACTTATCTGTGTTGGAATAGGTATCTATGTTCGCCTATTTGTGAGTTACACCTTAAGAAATTTCCTTAACGGAATATAAAATGAATCCATATGTAGACAAGTCCTTATGTATGCAAGTATTTTCACTTACTGCTAATGGCCGCCATAGTAACAACGCCACTCTGTCATGTTAATATTTAACTAAGTATAGTCATTATGAACCTTCTATTCATTTACCGACAGTTTTACTTAACAAAGACGAAAAGTAATCACCTACTCGTTGGAAGGAATAGAAAACGTATTGTTCTATAAATGTTTTCATGGAATCTTACTAATGTAAGAAAGTAGACTTACAGAGCTAGATTCCTATACCTACTGTTCTAGACGGAATTCTTTCTGGTACTAAAATAGCTTCTGAATTGTTTCCTATTTTGGTTCTAAACCTAAAGTTAAGCATTTTGCGATGTTTTTTCATCAACTCAGTAGTTTCGATTCTCGTCCCCAAATAATGGACCTAGTATACTACACTATACTTATGTATAGATATACCAAATAAAGATTCATGTAAAGTTGTAAGTACTTACAAATGCAAAAAAAAAAAATCAAAACATAAAAACACCATTATTAATACTTATGTTCTCAATTTCCAGCCAATGGCTGAGCTACAAAAATGTCCGCACTGCAATCGTGCGTTCGGCGTACGCGCATTCGAGCGTCACGTAGAATGGTGCGCGGACAAGGCGAAGATATTGCCGGCAGCGCCCGCGCAGCCGCCGCAACACATCGCGGACGCCAAGCAGCGACTCAATGCGCGGACGCAATACAAAGCTCCGCCCGTGCGCGGACGACGGTCAGTATTTTCATTTTGGTATTATAGTAATCAGTCTCCGGTCCTTTAAGGATTCGAGAAGCAACACGACGATACTGTAAGAGACCATTAAGAAGTAAGAAAACTGAAACGAACGAAAAGACGCTTTGAATGAAATGTGTAACTTGTCAGGTATAAAATATCATCTGCATCTTGTCTTTGCGTCTCAGTGAGAATTGCCTAAAAATACTCGTTAAATCCATTATTCCAGTCACAAGTAGCTATACCTTCTGTTTACAGAATTAGACAAATTTAAAGTCCATTGTTCATAACCGGCCCAGTCCTGAAAAGAAGCACTCGCTTCCTTAACCTTACCTTACCTACCTACCTTAGGTACCGTAGGCAAGTAAATCAAACCAAAAAAGCCTTTAAGTTACACTGAATGTGGTTGCTTTATAGAAAATTCTAGATCCACGTAAGGATAGACGATGATTGCTAATCTTTGAATGCACTCAGTCGGCTACATATCACTCATAATCAATCCCCAGATCGCAAACCGTCACGTTCGCATAAAGACGTAAATTGCTGATCAATTAGCACTATTTGACTGCACGGTTAGCGCGGTGGCTGACCAAATGGGTGCGGCGCAACGTGTCGGTAGTTCGATTCCAGGACGGAACAACTCTTTGTGTGATCCACAAATTGTTGTTGTTGATATGTATGTTTGTAAATGCGTACCCACGACACACGAGAAAATACAAGTGGGGGGTAACGTTGAAAAAAACACATCAAGGTCGCACAAGGTCGCGTGTCTGGTTGAAAGCGGACCGCGTCCAGTATCTATAGGTTTAATCCTTCTAACAAAACCTCCTATAAAGAAATATCAATGTAATATTCTGCAATATTACATAAACACATAATTAATAGACGTGCGCAGTAGCCATTCAGTCTGGCTAGTCTAAAGCCTCAGTCGCGTCCGTCACTGTCATTATTGATAATGACCGCCTTAGTTTTTGTTCAGAATCGTTGCTTATTATGCTGTCTGTGAACCAACAATATTATATCATCTTTACAAACTTTAGTATCTTTTTATGTGTGTTGATTGATTTGCGACAGGTTTTCATTTCATTTTGGATATATAGAAACCAATTGTATCTAATTACAGTTTAAAATTTATCATTTTAATAAAACTATATTCTTGGAAATAAAGAAAAAACAAAGAAGCAAATCAATCTCTGATTAATATGAAAGAGTTTATAATAAATGCAATTTTATTTTCTTCAGGTCTTCGCAAACACGCGACAAGTCTTCAAACAGCCGATCGGCGTCAGTGGACTCATCACGTGGGGTGTCTCCTCCGCAGCCACGAGAATATGGCGACTTCAGACAAGGACGCGCCAGAGCCTCAGGTAAAAGGCCTTTGTTTCTGCCCACATACAATTTTCTGATATAGGTACTGACTTGCCTAGACAAGACAGATTAAACTGTCAAAATACGACTTTACTGCTAAATCTATAAAGGTTATAAAACCTTATACCTACGATTTAACTCAATGAATATTTTACTATAGCCTTTTTGATTTCTTTAAATTCCAGAATCTGTCTCCAGCAATGACTGCCACGATGAACCTTCTCCTCATATGCCAGTGATTAGGAACTCTCGGAACTCACAAAACAGTTCGTCAGGCGACGCCAATGTAAAAGCAAGACAAGCCAGGCTTGCTAGAGACCTTAGCAGCTCTAGGTTCGTATTAAATCCTATATGCCAATATTTAAAAATCTATTTAAGTTTCGTAATAAATAAGGGGAAAGGAAGGATTCCTCAATTTTTCAATGCTTTTCTTATTATCTATTTGTAATTGTATACAGAAGTTGTTCCTGTCTCCTTGTTTGTTACTATCTAAACAATGAAATAAGAATTTACCCTTCCTTTCCCCTTCCATAGAAAAAAACAAGATCCCTGCCTATCCTCTATCAACCCAAGTAGTTCTGACCTTGTCAAGAAAAATCAAAGTAATACCGATTCAAAAACAAAGCACGCTCATAAAAATAACACTGATTTAAATACCAAGAAACATCAACAAGTTAAAGTTGATACAAGTGTAAGTAAGGAACCAAATAAATCTGAACCCAACATCAAAAAAGTTCAACACAGCGTTACCGATCCTAATATCAAGAAAAGTCAAGGCCATGCTGACTTGCGTAGCAAAAAGAGCCAGCCTAGTTCCACTGATTTAAACATGACGAATATCCAACAAAGTACTACAGATCCGGACATTAAAAAAATGACGACTCAAACCAAACAGAAAAACAAATTAATCGCAAGGAAACAACAACAGCTAAAGAAACTCGAAGAGATCGTTAACAAGTTTAGTGAAAAGAAAAAGGCCGAAGTTGCAGATTTAAAAGAACAATCAAAACTTGCTCGTGACAAAAGCCAAATACCAATACCTAAAAAAAAGAAAACTAAAAATACAAAGATAGAGAACAGCGCTGATATCGAACAATTTATTAGTGATGACATTAAAGAAATGATACCAACAGATGTCAATGACAATATAAAAACATGCTCTACCTCTAGATCATCATCTTTAGAAGCGACAGAAGCACATAAAAAATCTAGAATCGAGAGAGACAAAAAATTTCACCTTGGAACAAAAAAAGATTGTAAGATTGCTAAAGAAGCGAGCATGAGTTTAGATAGCTTAGAGGAATGCCCTACTACTAGGAGTAGCGATCGAAACTGTCTATCGATTGGGATTAACACAGAACTTTTGTGCGTTCCATGCATCATACATGACAACTCCGACCAAAAAAAACCTAATAAGAAAAATAAATCTTCACGAAAGGACAAAAAGTCCAGAGAATCAGAAATTGATACAGCTCCCGAACCAAAAGTAGAATTACTCTATAAAAACCCAACCATGTCAAATTGTATGGAAAGAAACTACATGAGAGATTCTTCTTACATGAAACTAGATAAGATCGATTCTAATGTTGATAGTTGTTTAATTACTCCCAGTACTTCTGGTAACTGTATTGATGAAGTGGAGTCAACATCAGATTTTACTCGCCAGGACAAATGTAACCCTAATGTGTCAATACAGATCATAGAAGATGTAGATATACAAATATCAAATACAAATATAAGTGGATCAAATGTTGATTCGATAAGCGAAAAAATCGACGGAGAAATTCACGAACTGTCTGAAGAGCGTTTCGAAGTGGATTATGAGCACGATATCAGTGCGGAGCTATCCTGTAACGGGTCAATGGAAAACAAATATGATGAAGAAAATATCAAAGAAGAAATTGGTCGCCATGGAAGTGGTGAAACTTATACAAAATTCATTGAGGACCCAGCAGATCTTGAAGAGTTTATGAATATAACTGACAAGTTGTTAAGTAATGAGCAATCGGAACAGGAATGTGCGAATGTAGCTAACGTTGTAGATAGCTTTCATACACCGAACACAAATTCTATTGAAGCCATCGACCAAAAACTATCTCATACTACAATCAATGATCCACCAAAACATGAATTCTCTGATAAATTTGAAGAGTTGAAGAATAATCTAAGAGAATTGCTTAAAGACGCCGAGAACTCAGAGAGCGCACTGAACGAGGCGTTGAAGCAATCTGAGGAAACAAATAAAGAAACTAAAAATTTACCCGAAATTAACAGAAATATCTGTGATATGGAACACATTACTATGTACGAACTTAAATTCTACGAAAAAAGACAGGAAGATGATAATCATCAAGATGAAAAAGTAGCTGGTTTCAAATTACCATTGATCACGGAATCCAATAAACCTGGCGAGAAGGTCGAATGTGATAATAAAAAAATGCACAACATATACAAACCGAACAGAAAATACAAGATGTTGGGTGAACAAACCAGAACCAATAAGGAGTATCAAACATTTATAGTGAAACAAAATACAAATTACAATAGCGACGAGTCAATGTCCTCAGATGTGCCCCCGTTGAAGCTGCCACGAATAGAAATGAAAAGGTTAGACTACTATGTCCTCTTTTCTCCTACCTCCTTTTCACACCTTTTAACAATATACAATTCCCGATTGTAATTTCTTTTAGTGGTGCATAGAAATTGGTATTATAATATTGAAGATTGAACTGGATCATCAGCACATCTAAATTAAAATTTTATTGATGACAAAATCGTGTATTTTTGTCTCATAAACTTGATTATTACTCTGAGTCATCATCACATTTAGTTATTTCCTTCTTCACTGCTTAACCGTTTAAAAACAGGTGCAAAGCTGGATCCTAACTGCAAGAATTACTGTCTACATATTCAAAATAATAATTACAAATATTACATTTTACAGGCTTGACGACAATTACGATCCATTCGTGTCAGCTGCTAGGCAAATGAAAGAACTCATGTCCTCAGACACAAACATTCCCAAAAAAATACAAAATTCCAAAGATCACAGCAGAACCCTTCCTGCCCTCCAACCCGCTAAAGACAAAGGCCCGTCCTCCTATCTAAGATCTGATAACAGTAAAATGATAAAAGACACACTTAACAAAACATACCAGAAAACTCCCACACTTCAGAGAATGAAGTCATTCGGTAGCACAAACAACGAAAACAGTACCAACACGTTCGGCGGTCGATGCAGCTCCTTTAGACTTAATAGAAATGATAAAAAGCCTAGCCCAAAGTTAAACACAACCTTTACTAAATCCAGTAAAGAAAACATTAGTACAGTTGAAAAGAATTACTTCAATCGAAATAGTAGTTTGAATAGGTCCTTCTCCAGTTACACCGCTTCTAGTTACAGCACACCTAAACCTAAAGATAAAATTCCGAAAATTGCTACTTCCATGTACCATAGCTTCCAACGCACGACTATAAAACAACCTGTAAAATTAGACAAAATAAAGAGAGATGACGAAAAGAAAGACTTTGTCAATCTCGACGCCATTCTCGCTGACGATAATTCGTCAATGACTGACAGTAATTACATTGATCCAAGGCTCATTAATGAAAATGACAATCTGCCTATCAATGTTAATACTATATTAAATAACCCTGACATCATTAGTAGCATGGAATCTCTTCTCACTACAGAAAACTTGCCTAAAAGATTCGAATCATTTAGTACTGTTAACATAAACAACAACAAAAACTTGAATAATAATATTACTAATCTGTGTAACAAAACCGTAAAAGATGAACCGAATAATAACGTTAGTAAAACCCCTGCCCCCACTTCAGATGATCTTAGCATTCAGTACGATAAAATTATGTATTCATTAGAACAAAGTATAGCTTCTAAGACCTCTACTAGAGATGACGACTCTCTATGCGAGGATTTCGATCTCGAAGAATTCATGACTTCATTTGATGAAGAAATACTTAAGCAAAAACTAGAAAACAAACGCACATGTAGCTCCACCACTAGGGTAGTTAAACAGTCCGAGCTTGCTGATAGCAACAGGACATCAGAATTGAATAGTGTTAGCTCATCACCTAAAGTTGTGAATGGTATGAACCCAGTTAACAAGTCAATGTCTCTAACTTTTAGCAGTAACAATATAGGGAGCGAGAGCCTTTTCCCCTCCTCTGTGAAACGTTCCACTTCCCTCCTCGATTCCATTCACAAGAAGAATACGCTCAAGATCGACAGCGGAAGAAGCCGCCAAAAATCCGATCAACTTGAACAAGACCTCATGCAGTCTCTTAAAGATTTTGACAAATTCTACGAAACTGAGAAAAACGAAAACCAGTCTAGTAAAGAGGTGCAGAGTTATAATGGGACTGCGAAAAGGGATACTCGCATAAAAACTGAACGCAAAGTCAAGAAAATTGAAAATAATACCAATGGGAACCACACGCCGAATGGCAAGCAAAGTAATGATTCAGCTTATAGCAGGTTAGTCAGGTAATTGTTTTCATTTAATGCAGCAACGCTATTGAATTTGCTATTAGTAGAAGAAACTGCAGACATTTCAAAGATTTCGTCGGTTCAGAAAATGATATATTTTATATTTTACAGTTTGAACAGGATATCCCCGTCGAAACTTTCAATATGTACTTCCAAGGAACCCAACGGATTAACATCTTTAGAACAAATCCCGGATGGGTCGGACTCTAGCGGCAGTCACAAGGAGGACGTGAGGTCAATTTCTAGCGACGAGTTCCTCGCGATGGAGCGGTCGGCAGAGCTAGACGAGCCTCTTCCACCTCCAGACCTTTTATATAAGGAACAAGACAATCATATCGGTAAGCAGACGTCTAACATATCTACATGTTCTCGCTGTTACATTTATGTAGTAAGCAAGGTAGATGTGCCTTGATCAGTGCGTGTCATAATTACCTACTATACCCACAGATAAGCGCGTGAGTTCTCGTGCGTCGTCGCGGCAGAGTCCAACGTGGCGGCCGCGAGCTTCGCTGAGCTCGAGCGGCTCGGAAGTATCACTGGCGAAAAGGCGCGACCCGGCGCCCGCACAGTGTCGCCGGCCTTCGCGCTTCTGTCACGAGTGTGGCAACAAGTTCCCCGTCGACACCGCCAAGTTCTGCATCGAATGTGGCGTCAAGAGACTCGTCGTTTAGCGGCACGAGCAACTCTATGAGCGACTTCTAGTCTTATAAGTAGTGCCGGTTTATTTTGGCGTACTGGTGATAGGTATTGAGCACTGAAGTTGACAGTGCAGCTGATGCGCCCGGAGCGACAACAGCTACTCGGAAGTGCGTGCATGCTTACATATTTCACAGCCAGCATGTGATGTTGACGACATACCAGTAAAAGTATTGATATCATGAAACGATGCGTATCACGAAAGGAATTGTTCTCTTTGTATGTACAGTTGTCGCGTGATTCTTTTGTAGGATACCAAACAAGCAATGTGTTCTATATTATTTGCGTGGTTTAAAACATTTATATATGAGTTTATTCTTGATGACCAAATGGTGCATCATCATGGTAAATTTTGTATGATCGCGAGGAAATAAAAAATACATTCATGTATTTACATATAACTCTGTTTAATACTGAAACTGTTTGTTAATCTGATGATTACTACTATCTTAGATTTACCTTTAACTGGAAGTGTATTTTTATACTTACTAAAATTTTGGTATGTATTTTGCACAAATGAACAATCTTGGACCACTACTTAGATGTAAAGTGAGAACTCTTCTTATAGTAATGAGTAGCTAACTATAAATTAATAACGTAATATTATTTACAAAACGTTACCAAATTGCTATAATTTATGAACTAATTTGTGCCTTCACAATTATCTAGATATAGTGTCGTGTATTCTGTTGGTATCTGTTTTGTTTGCGAAGTTTTAATTTCTGTTGCAATTTATGTCAAAAGAAAACTGGCCAAGGTAGTCTTGGAATTTGTAAGATCTGTGATACACAATTATTTTTGGTAGATCAAAAATTTCGTCATGGATGTTTGGATGAATTCAAAAATAACTTTTAAGTGCCAATTTCTTTATGTAATTTGGGTTTTTAATTGAATTTTGTGTACATTATTCGTTTTTGATTTGCTATTGTGAGCGAATACATTTTTTTTTAAATATTATTGATTACCCTTCCAAGGATTTCCACTAATGTCTCTTGTCCACAACATAGTTGGCCATTTTAACAAGACTGATTTTATTTTCAAAGTTTTCGAACTTGATTAATCCTTAGTTACTGTTGTATATTGTTTTTAATAAAATAACGATTTTATCATGTAATAAATTAACATTTTAATAATGATAATGTGTTGTTTCTCTTTATGTATACCCAATAGAAGTAAAGAATTCTGTTGATAAACACTAAAGATAATAACTTAACTATTGTACTGCATTCAATATAATACTAAAATTAATATTATTGCTCATTATTAAACAGTTGTGAGGGGTACATTCTAGTCCTTACTATGCTATTTGCTACATTGAAAATTGTAAACATTATATTGTAATTGGGAAATGTTATGACACTTTTAAACCAATAATTGTTATAAATGATTTTATTTACAACATTAACAAATCAACATCATAGTCTAATAGAAAAAATATAAAACTTTCATATTCATTTTGCTTAAGAATTAGAAAATGACAACCGTTACTAAGTTATGAGTAAGTACTTACTAAGCTAAAGCCTGAACATACTCTTATGTGCTTTCCGGGTAGGTATAGCACCTCTAACTCGCAACCTTCTCAGAGCCTCGCGCAAGTGCTTCGGTTGCAGAGGTCCAGCTTCCCCAGACTTATCCAATACTTCTAGAGCTGAAAAAAGGAAACATTCAATATGTATAAACACCAATAACACATTTATGCTCATGTAAATTACAATTCTCCTTAATCAGGACCTTTATTGTCAGAAAAAGGTTTGTATGAAACAAAACATAGAAGTTTTTACTAAATTGCCTAGCACCTGACAGAAAAGCCAGGTCTATAGTAAAGGTGGCTACAATATTATTCACTTGTGTTATTTTTAGCATTTAAGCTTAGCTTGAAAACATAGGAGGATTGTTACACCCATTGACATTCAGAATTATATATTGTCTAATCTACCCCATCTAATGAAATCTAGATTAAAAATTTTACATTAGAGCTATTGGTAATGATCAAAATATGATATTACTTACCTTCTTCTACAACTTCACCAACAAATACTTTAGCAATACCAGACATGGCAATCACAACATTCTGACCAACTGAACATCCAGTAATGGTCTGCATCAGCCTCTTTATAGCTGCCTTGGGAAACGCAGCTCTGCGGTACATTTCGTACCTATCCAACTGCTCCTCAGTGAAATTTGAGACTAGAACCCTGTAAAACAATAGAATTTATGGTGAATAACAGAAAACTATATAGGCTAACCTCTTGCAAGGTCTAGGTAAACAAACTACATTGATATGAGTGCTAGTGCTGGATGGAAACCTCTATTGTTGGTTTAAAAACAAGATATGGTTTTTATTTGGTGGTACAGATGGTTGCAATAACAATTACTTTCAGGGAAAACAGGACTATGAGAACTTACTGCATCTTTTCCCGCTCCTCTTCTTCTAACTCCTTTTTACTCTTCTTTTCCCTTTCCCTCTCATTTATCAACATTTCTTCAGTAATCTGAGATTCATATTCTACCGATTCACTCTGTTGGAAGTCACTCATGTTTGGTACAATAGTTGTGTTCTTATTTTCTTCCTCCAATTTGTCAAATTTTTCTTCTGTGAGATCTACTTGTTGTTGATCCATATTTGAGTTATCAAATGAGTATTCATTAATGTATGGTTCATACTGGTCGGCAAGAGTATCAGGCTGTGAACTTACAAATGTGTCAGAGTTGTCTGTGTATATGTTACCAAGTTCATCAGCTCTATGAATAGTTTCTACATTTTGAGAGCTATCCGAATAGGTTTCAATTACTTCAGTCTCCAAGTTGGCATTTTGTGAGCTCTCTCCATAATTCACTAGTGTTGTATCTGAAACCATAAATTACATTACTGTAAAATTGCTCCAAATAACTATGTTCACTGACCTGCGGCAAAATATTTTCATGCAATGTATACTTACATTCCGGTTCATCTTTCAACAACTTCTCTTCAATTTCTAATGATATTTCTTGATCTTCTTCATTTGAGTCACTGTGCTCCAATTCCTGGGCTAATTCGTCTTCTGAAAATATATATTGTAGTTAGATAACTAAGTGTGTCAGTCTCATATATGCCCAGTATTTTCAACAAAAATAGAATAATTGAAAAAAGCACCCACCTCTAAGTCTCTCGGCCTCCGAAAGGCCATCGCTACTTGGGTTTTCAGCCATTGTTTTATGATCACTTTATGATCAATAAGAAAACTTCTGATTCCAGCTGATCAAAATTATAAAACAATTTAAACAATAGTATTAAATATCATTACAAAATATTTACGCATTTTGTGAAGGAAGACCTAACTCAAACGTTGCGTTGCGTTCTTCTCATAACCTCGGAGTTACTTGATACCTGTAGATTTTTAGCATACGACTATTGCTATCTTTCTTTCACTGTTTTTTGTTGTGCAGTCTTTTTCTATCAATTTCATGCTCAAATTAAATTGTTTACTTTTTGACAGGAAAAACAATAGACAATACTGATTTGACAGCAAACAGATAAACAAAGAAAATAATTGGGTGTCTGGACACAAGAGCTTTTACACCGTATGGGTTCCCATACACGTTCTTTCAAGTGCAAAATCATGGAGATAACTCATTCGATTTTACTGAAATAAGATTCACAATCGCAATACCCAAGGAGTAAAAATTTTGCCAGTTCCTTTTTGAAATATTGGTGTCTGTGATGGTGAGCTGTTATGTGGTAGACTCTGGTTTTAAACTTATTCGAAAATGTTTTTAATTGAGATATTGTGTATTGTGTTTATGATGTGAATTCAAACACATACGTTTGTGTATGTATTATACACAAATGTTTAGCTTATTAATACCAAGTTTCATTTTTGGTTTCATTATAATCGGTTTCCAAGATTGGGCATCAAAATATAAAAACCCTCGCTTTTACAAAGCGTCATGATTTTGTAAATGAATTTCTTCCTTGATAAATTGCTATAATCAAATAACTAAATGTTAATTAAAGCTTTTTATTCTGTTTATTGATTAGTTCCTTAGACTATACAAAAGTGTTTTTCCATGATTAGGTCAGAAAGCGCATTAATTTGAAGAATACTTGCGCACTAGGAAACTTTTTGGTCGATAGTTGATACGTCACAGGTATCATCGCTTATGTCAACTTTGCGTGACTTGTGACAGCTCGCAGCAAAGTAGTGTTCGTGAATGTGATTTTCGATCGCCGAAAAACAAAAAATTGTATTCTTGGTGCGGACAGGGAGTTCCATCATGAGTGCATTAATGAAAGTAGCTGTTTCTCGAAGCCCTGTTTCATTGGTAAGTTCTAAAACCATGATTTTAGTAAATATTCGTGATAACGTTATGTAATCGGTAAACGGCAAAAAAAATGTTTTGGGACATACGCACCAAAAGAATTCTCTCGTCTGAGGGCTGGTAATCACGTTGAAATGAATGTTATATCGCTAAATAGTTTAAAAATGATGGTTTTGCGTGGTTGGGCATAATTTTGTATGGAATATTTTTGGAATGAAGTGTGCAAATAAATATTGAGTAATACTTTGTAATACGTGTTTTGCTCTTATTATGTCACCTAAAAAACTACGAATTTTGGGTTGATTAAAGTCAAACAGTTAAAGTCACCTCCTTAAACGGTACACGGCATAAATGTCATTCGTTTTTATTCACTTATCTCATACCTACACACAGCATTATTTACATGTATATCTGTATTTTAAACTCACATGATATTCGTGTATTATGAATATATAAACTCATTAGGCCTAATGGTTTCACTAATAAAAATTATATATAATATTTTATTTAAGTTTTTATTGTCATCTCCATTAGTTAATCTGGTCTTTGCATAATTGTTTCAAAGACCATGTCCCATACTTCAGAAACTACAACAATGTAAAATTGTTTCAGGCTTCATATTTATACCGAAACCTGCATTTATCAGTGGGAGGAGCTACAGCAGTCAGAGATGCCTCAACTAACACCAATACAACAAAAGCTTACACTGTAATTGATCATAAGCATGATGCTCTGGTCATTGGTGCTGGAGGAGCTGGTCTTCGGGCCGCCTTCGGTTTGGTGCAGGAAGGTTTCAAAACTGCTGTTGTCACCAAACTGTTCCCTACTAGATCACACACTGTTGCTGCTCAGGGAGGAATCAATGCTGCTTTAGGTAAACTTATTTTTCCATATACAAATAGATCCTACAGTTTGTAATATTATCCTCATTATGTCAATGTGTAGGTAACAACATGACAAAAATGAGCTAAACAGCAAACTCTTTCTTTCAGTCTCTGGTCTATATGTGTGACCAAAATAATCTGTTTTTTGAATCCTTGAATGTGTACTTCGCCTGTTTTCAAAAGCATTTCAAATTACCATTTTTATATTTTTGTACAAATTACATGCTTATGTCAAAGTCAACCCTATCTACCATTTAATAAAAAATATATTTCTTTAAAAAAACTATATTGATTTTATAATATTTCAGGTAACATGGAGGAAGACAGCTGGCTCTGGCACATGTACGACACTGTGAAGGGATCTGATTGGCTGGGAGACCAGGTAATATTCCACAGAATAATTACTATACTTAGTATCAATTAACTAAAGATAACACTCATAATATGGTTCAAAACATTTACTTAGATAAAGATACCTTCCAATCGTGGTAACTTGAGACATGATAGTAGAACAATAGGAGTGTGAATGATGGTGTTCACTTGGGATTTGATGAATTCAATTGTATTCTCAACATGTTATATCACCACCTATGTTAATGTCCAGTAGGTCTAGGTGGCCCAGAATACCTAGAGGCAGGAAGAGCAACCTCTCGCTGGGCTACCTCTAGGTAGACTATTCTACCCATAATTTCTTATTTAAGACAGAGCATCCTCCACAAACCAATTTTCGTAATTAAGCGCGTGTCTATAGTCTGCCTTAGACAGAGACCATAGTGCGCAATGTCCAGGATGTTCCATCTTTTTGTGCAGCCAATAATTATGTTTGGATTACTATTATACTTTATTTTTCTGATAAGTCTGCAACATCCATAACCTAGATAATAATTAATTTGCATTTTTATGTGTATAGCTCTAAGTTTTAACTCATCTATAAATATTAGTATTATCTTGATTGAATAGCATTGTCAATTTTTGCACAACATAATATTTGCAGATATATTATCACAGATTTGCAAGTTTATCGTCAATATTAGACAAGCAAATAGTCAAATGTTGTGTGTGAAATTTGCACATTTTTTTACTTTGATTATTCCTGTCTCTATTATCAAAGATAATGTCAATAGAATTTGTGTTTTATGACAAATAATGGAATAAATTTGTTATACATATATGTATTAACTTAATTACTAAGTTATTCACTCCAGCTTTGCACAGATTGTAATCTAATGGTCTCATGGACATATTACAAGGTAGCCAAAAATTTAAAATTTACTCCTTGAAATTTATCTCAAATCGAACGAAATTTGTTTTATCTCCTATCTAGTAAATAGGAACATAGGCGTTTTGTTTTACTGTGAGCTGTGAAGTTTTATGCATCCACATACAAGAACATTACAGGCAATTCAATTTTTATGAAAACTAAAGTTTATGAGAAGAAAGCTACCTCTTGTTGTTTATTATACTATGAGAATCTTGTGTACATACAACATTGCCATGGTAAAAAATAAAAATACTATGTAGGTATAAAGCTAACAGTACCAAAATAAATCAAGGTGATTCCTAACTTTCGTGTAGTACACAAAAAACTGGTGCTCTTACATTTCTGTTTCAAAATTCCGCTTTAGCTCCAAGAAAGATTATGTGGAATTTTCCACAACACCAGTTTCATTGTACTTAATAACTTACGATTGATACTAAGTACTACCCAATTAGTTTTGATGACATATACCTAATTTAATAAGAAAGTCTAAATATTTATATGAATACTAGCTATTGCCGCGCGGTTTCATCCGTTGCTCGGTTCCTGTTGAACGAAGGGTCATGTTTTATAGCCTTATACCACTCAAGAACATTGTATTTTGGAAATCTGACCAGCTGTTCTAACGATTATCCCCTACATAGTTACATACAAAATTAACAATGTTACCTCTTTATAATATTTGTATAGATTCATCTGTTCGACTGCGATATCTAACACTCGTGTTTCTTACATTCAATATGGCAAATTATTATGATTTGAGAAAAAGTATTGCATCACTGCTTACCATCAGGTGGGATCGCAGTCAAGCACTAGTTTATTGCAAGTAAAAAAAAAATAAAAAAAAAGTTGAACTAACTAAAAACTTTTAATAAACCATATCGAGCAAGATACAGGTTTTGAAATAACTGGTTATGTCTAGACTTCATATTATCTCAAATGATGACGTCGACTCGATTTAAATAATCTCATTCTAACGTGCGGTAAATTCCATCCTTCCTGAAACATACTATGAACTTAGTGCGTATTAGTTAGCGATAATTCGATAACCCAAACATACTTTCACTCTCAGATTAGGAATATTTCATAGATGTTATCTACGTTGTTACCTGCGTCATTTCGAATTACGTTACTCGGTACTAGGTACTCATGCTGTCATGATAATAGTAGGTATTTAAAAATAAAAAGATTAGGCGCTTAGCTATCCATTTTCGGGAATGCGAGTGCAAGCGCACCAATTTACCGACCCCGGCCCAAAGCAGGAGAAGGAACGGGGAAGTTTTTAGTCAGTAAGTCTGACACGCCTTCTTGCCCCATCCAGTATAAACGGGGTTTAATCATCCATTTAATGATTAATCCCATTTAAAAAATCATTCATTCATTCGCCCTAACTGAATTACCATCTGATTAATATAATTCTTATTTTATTTGCTGACCAAGTGGTCACTAGTTTAATAGTTATAGTTGATCAATATTTAATCCACTTACTGATTCTTTCATGCCAGCTCATTTCGAAAATAGGCATAACAGTATCATAATCATGTTGGCTTAACTTTTAACAAATTTTAAATCAAGTTTTGAATACTTGTACATTTCCTTACTCTTTAAGTTATTATTTTATATGGCTGTTCTTGTTTCATTATATTAGTCCTTTGTAAATTTGTAGTTAGTTATTTTGAGCTTTATTTCACTTGTATGTAAGCACATAATATCATAACGATATTAGAATTAATGTTGACAGAACTAGACAATAAGGCTGTTTTAGTTTATTCTTGTATCTTTAAAACAAGGAAGCAAGCAATACGAAAGTCAACGCAGTTGTTACAGTAATTTAATGATTAAAGGCTGAGCAATTTGTTATGAAAACAAATATACGAAACACTTGATTCAATATACTTACATTGTAGTAGGTTACTATGTGTCTCTTTGGTATAAAACTATATTTTTTTGAAAGTCTATGATGGGTTTAACATTAAAGTGATGATAATTATTCTATCATTTTACTCAACAGGTAAATGCAATAAGACATTAAAGAATTAGGCTACCATCCTAATTGAATACCAAATAAAATATTTGATTTTAAAATGACACCTTTTTGGATAAGTATTTATATAGAACAATCTCGAAACTATTGTTCCTGAAGAATTAAACTCTGAATATTGTATTTAATCCTTTCCTTTTTTCTTTTCTCTCAGGACGCCATCCACTACATGACAAGGGAGGCGCCACACGCTGTCATTGAGCTGGACAACTACGGTATGCCATTCTCCCGCACTCCTGAGGGCAAGATCTACCAGAGAGCCTTCGGAGGACAGTCACTCAAGTTCGGCAAGGGAGGCCAGGCGCATAGGTGCTGCGCTGTCGCTGACAGGTAAATTAGAATCTATATTAAAATATTTTTTATCTGATGCCGTCAAACGTAAATTAAAAATTCGATATTGGAGAAGATAGAATTCAAGAATCCGTGTAAAACTGATTGAAAACGAGTAACTTTGGAGTTTCTTCCGTATTCTGCTCCATAAGAATATACACTTTGGAATGCGCAAATGGTTTATCTAGAAAACAGATGACTGACAGACAACTTAAACTTTTTGTTATTTTTTTCTGTTTGACGTTTGATTTTAAATGAATAATTTGTCTGTTGACTTTTAAGGCTATGAGAAAAATATGGATTCCCAAATATCGATATTTCTTTGTAAAATATCCGTTTCAAAAAGTACAGTACTCCAATAAAATTTTCATATTTAAAAAATATTTTTTGGACAGCCGTTCTAAATCTACGTGAGCAAACATTGTAAACATTTCTATTTGTATCGATTACTATAAATATACTTGTATACCACCTGTTTAACACGTTCTTTTTTTGCTTCTGTTCCACCAGAACCGGACACTCCCTCCTACACACCCTGTACGGCCAGTCTCTGCGATACGACTGCGAGTACTTCATCGAATACTTTGCTTTGGACCTGCTGATGGAAGACGGAGTCTGCAAGGGATGCATTGCCATCAATCTTGAGGATGGATCACTGCACAGGTAAGAGAGAGCATTCACTCAGAACTACCCAATTTCAACGTCTCATGGCTGCGGTATGTAGCTTCGCCTATAACTTGCCAGGATTCGACTCGAGCAGACTGTGTCTGTCGTGAGGCTAGCTCCGACTCTACGTGTGGGATAGCCCTGCTTCGGCACAAAAAGACCGGCTTGACTAGAGGGCCACGGCCTTATTACAGAACCTCGAAACAACATTCACGTTATGTTTCGTCGTGTGTATGAGGTTACTGGATGCCCAATACTCAATCTTTCAATCTTCTATCCTTAAGTCCCTAACAACCTACAAAAGGTCGGAAACGCACTTGTGGCTGTGTGTGGTTATGCCTTTGGTATTACGAGCGTCCACAGACGGCGCCGATTTCTTTCTATAAAATAACCGTCTGCTCGTTTGCCCACCTATTTTATTAAAAAATATACGTGAACACACACAAAATAACAAACAGCACAGCAGTTGCGCAGTTAAGTAAGGCAACTGTTAACTTCAGACAACCATGTTATTCCATACAGTGACAGGTAGGAAAGTTCAGGTAGAAAGGAGTTTTGAAGTTCCGCTACTGGCTAGTACTTCGACGATAATCTATCTATAAGCTGGAAGCATATAATTTGGTACAAATGAGGTGTATTGAGACTTATAATAGTTAGTTTCTTCATTTTGTATCCTTTTTCATAATTGGAGTATTTTTTTAATGGCGTATAGTTATCGGCCTGTGAGTAAACGAAACACCTGGTAGTTAGCAATCGCCACAACCTATGGATACCCGTAACACCAAAGAAGTTACAAGTGAGTTGCCTGCCTTCTAGATTTTTAGCGGATTAAGACTAGGGAATGTGAAATGCTTCTTAATAATTTACCCCTCAGCACCAATATGAGGTCCGGATTCTCTTATAGAACTTGGTCTTGTAGACCTCAAGCTGCAATGCCTTTTCTGGCATATCGTTGAGCTGTATTATAATCATCTGATTTATTTTGTTGCGGTATCAAAGACAGTCATTCATGTCTCTGGGACGAGCCGGACCTTAGTGTTTCGGTATTTTCGTGGTTGTATTTACTGTAGATCCTGGCTTACACGGACACGCTACCCGCTACCTCTCAAAACTGCTGCAAGGAGTTGCTTTGATTAAAAATAAATTTATACTTTGCCCCACACTTATATTTTCTTTGTGTTGTTGGTTTGTTTACAAACATACAATTTCAAATACACAGAGATCCGTAACATCAAATTGTGGATCACAGGCCATAAACATAAATATACCTACACTTTAATGACCCTTCAAAATGCGTCAGAATTTAAGTAAATAATTTTCGTTACTCTGTTTTCAAATTTTATAATGAAAGCATGTCCCATATTCACCATATGTCGTGATTACCCAGAGATTAACCCCACTTATCATGCATGAAGAGTTGAAACCTGGCAAGTGCCAATGTGATTTCTTTAGAGTTATGTGTGCTACCAAAAATTATTTAGACACCACCATATCAGTAATAAACGGCAGAAGAAAACCCTGTGAGTAAACCTGGATTTGAATTTCTTATTAAAGTTTGATCTACCTATCGCTTTGAGCAAGTGTGTTGATTAATGCTCAATCCTTCTCGGTGTAAAAAAAGGCCTTTGCTCAGCAGTAGGCAATTAAAAGCTTTTTTTTTTTTTGTGAGGGGAAAATCATCAAATGACTTCTCCCGCCCAGGGCCGGGCAGGAGGGAGTGTCAGACTCTTACTGACTAAAAACCCCCCTGTTCCTTCTCCTGCTCTGTGCCGAGGTCGCGGTACCTCATTGCGCTTACCCCGCAACCCCGGCTGAACATCAGCCCTTTAGGGCCCCGTCTGTGGTGGTCTATTGGCTCTTTGATGTGATAATAAAACCGTTCTTCATCGGCTCAAGTAGCCCGCCGGTAGTCCGTTCGTCCGGTAACGGTCTGTGCCGAATCAATTTTTATTTTCTTACCTGCTTACCAAAGTACTGTACTGACTACATTATTACCCATAAGTACCTTATTCACGGAACTTACGGCGATCCGCAAGAGGTACCAACCTCGCAAGCATGAGTGTAAGGTTTCGAAACCTGGCAAGTACCTATGTGAATTATTTTTATAAAGATACTACTTGAATAGGTTGAAACACATGATAAAAAGCTGGATTATGACTTCAAATTTTAATTGCCTTCAGCAAGCGTGGTGATTAATACTAATTCCATCTCCGTTTGAGAATAGGCTTTTTCAGAGACAGTAGCAGGTCGATGATAGTACTCAAATATCAAACACACAGTTTCCATTCATTTATCTCTTAAACGAACTTTCACGGCAACAAATAGAGACATTCTAAGTTTCATAGTTCAGTACCGCTGTACAGTTTAACAGTAAAATTCTCTTTGTACACAAGTACACAAGCGGGTCGATGACCTTAAGGTCAATCCTCTCGCTCCAGTGACCCTGCTAACGAGCACAGACTGAACAAAAGCGGCCTGGATATCAAATTATCAACCTCATTGTGTTTTAAATACAATGTATTTTTGTTTATGGGAAGTTGTAGCGTTTTGGTTGGAAATACGTATAGACAATTTGACGAAATGTTATAGAAAGGTTACTATACTACTGTACTGTACTATACTAGTGTAGTTAGTTCGTTCGATCGCGCTAATCTCTGAAACTACTGTTTCGAATTAAATAATTGATTTAGTGTTCCTTAGTCCATTTATTGGAGCAGGCTATAAAACATTACGCCACGACCTGTAGGAGCCGACGACGCGAGAGTAGCTACTTTTAAATAACTAAAAAAATATTGGAGACTTTTGTACATATACATTAATGAATCTTTTCTATTTTTTGGAACCATTACTTGTAACAAGTTTCGTAGGAAAACTGTATTGCGTAGTTCGTTGTGTAGTATCTCACAAAATAAACAGAAAAAGATAACAGCCTTGAAGTACAGATAGACTAAAAGATAATTTAATGGAATAGGTTTTCTAGGAATATCAATATTTATTTAATCTGAAACAGAATGTTACAGAAACTAAATAGTTGTGTACCTTGATATCTAATGAGTACAGAAATGTTCCTGGTCATTGAACTGGGCTTTAAACAAACATCGTTAATACTAATTTAAAGATAATTAATTAGTGTATCTACCTATATACTATAGGTATAATTATGTAAAATTGTAAGATTCCTAAGTGTAATACTTTCTATTTTCATCTTTTTAAAATTAGAAATTAACTTGGTCTTTCTTCAAACCATTAATTAAATATTTTAAGACAAACTTATCAAAGCTATTTTATCCATTAACCGAAATCTACTTACTTTATCGTAATTTCTAACACAATTTTATATACAACCCCCTTATTAACAAAAACTACAGTTTTCGTTTGTTTAAAATTCGATTAAGATCGAACACTCTTTTCATAGTATAACGAAACGTCAACAAATAATTAAAGTTAATTAAAACCGACTTCAATACATTGTTATATGAATTATCGTCTGCTTCATCATGTCATAATCATGGTCTTCGGTAGGAATTGATGCTCCCTATTAGGTGTCACGTCCCTTGGTGATTGCAGGTGTCAAATTATACATTCTACAGGTCATTGCTTATAAGCAGGACTAAAATGTCCCGAAACAATTAATTCGTCTACCTTTATAACTCTTTCGTGGTTGTTACTCATGTATTTAGTCTGAAATTATAATAATTATAATTGTAATTTTGTAAAGAATCACAAATTGATATTACTCTCCACAACTGAAGTGTCTTTCCGTGTACGTGTTGTAGGTCACACAATATGTTGAATGACGTCACAGCTGTTCTTCCAATCGGTCTTGAAAGTTCCTTATTCAATGGTAATGCTCAATGTTGGCCTCGTTATCGATTTAATAACAAACGTGATCGGTCTACATTGTTATCTTTATAATTTCTAAGATCGATGAACTTAACATTCCCATGTTAGGAAGGAAAAAGAGAAAGGAAATCTATACTTCTATACTAATATTATAAAGAAGTAAGTTTGTATGTAGGGGGTAATCTATGGAACCGCGAGTCGGATTGCCAAAACTCTTACTTCACCGATAGATAGCTACAATGTTCCTGAGTGCTATAGGCTAAAAAACATCACGCTACGATCAAATAGAGCTGAGCAGAGGGTGAAACCGCGCGAGAGTAGCTAATATATTTATAAGGCACCAACCACTACGATGTTAAAAATTTAATGAAAACGAAATATACCTTATGTATTTTAGCACATGTTAGCAAAAAGGAAAATTAAAATAAATATTTAAAAAAGTTACTGGTGGTAGATGACTGATCAAAACTCTGTTCACACACAAACACTAGCTTAAGGTGCGTTTGTAGTATTTCATTGTCTTTTCTATTTTCGCATATATTTATTTTTGATTATGTAAAAATTAATTTTATTGGAGGAACAAATTGGTGTTAATATCCTCTAGAAAATAGTGGATTTAAAATAGCTGTAGGTCATACATATACATACTCCTTGTATACTCTTAGATGTTTTATTAAAACAAAAAAAAAATGCATTTAGAAATTAATGTAAAAGAATGAGTTTTAACCTTAATTAATAACCTAGATGTAATTATTAGCAATGACTCGATTTAAAAAATACACCTTTATCGTCATTAAACCTTTTTCTAAAAATACATTTTAGATAATACAGCTTAAATCACGCGGTATGCACACGTCAAAATAATATCGTTATCTATGGAAAATAAAACACCGGATCGATCCGTTCTTTGTTTATATTTAAAAGAATTACACCAAATTTTATCGCTGGCTAATCTATACTGTGATTGTTGTCGAATATTTTTTTTTTATCTCATTTATTTGTTTTTTTCCAAACAAACATGGAAACTTGATTTTGAATATCATCGAAATGCTTTGTTATCTTGTTTTTACTTATTACTATGTAGCGGAGAGCCAAGCTCCGGCACAAATGGGTCGGCTCGACCGGAGTGATACTACGGCTTTACAGAAAACCGACGTAAAACAACCTCAGTGTTGTGTTTCGCAATGTGAGCAAGATTAGCGGAGGCCCAATCGCTCCCCTTCTCCTATCCTCTCTTCCTATAACTCTACAAAACCCAGGCCGAAAGTCAAGCAACGCACTCGTAACTCCTCTTGCACGCCTGTTATGTAACGAAGTCCTAATTCATCAAACCCTAAGCGAAGGTCGGCGTTCGCGCACCTATTGTAGTTCTATTGTGACTTTCATAATATGTACAATAGTGAAGAATCACGTTCTGTTAAAAATATTATGAAATGCTCTGTGTATGTAGTAATTTAATAATACCTAGTCGTTGAACCAACTTCGTCGTAAATGTAACTTATGACCATTAGCATAAAACTGAGAACAATGATATGTGATGCTTATGGCAGTTATGACCTTTTCGTTATATCGTATTACTACGAGTTACACTTAAAACCACATAAAGTACTATTGTATTTGTCTGTAAGGTGCTATTCTCTGAGTTAGGTCATGGCAGTCTAATAGCGGTACTATAATGGACTACTTATCTTTTTTTTTTAATGTAATAAGTCGGCAAACGAGCAGACGGATTACCTGATGGTAAGCAATCAACGCCGCCCATGGACACCCGCAACGGAGGAGTTACGAGTGCGTTGCCGACCTTTTAGGGATTAGGGATTTGGAGATTTAGGGATTGGGGAAGGGTCCGGGAAGGGGAAGGATTGGGCCTCCGGTAACCTCACTCACACGGCGAAACACAACGCTGTGGTTGTTTCACGCCGGTTTTCTGTAAGGCCGTGGTATCACTCCGGTCGAGCCGACCCATTCGTGCCGAAGCATGGCTCTCCCACACTAATCTATTCTAAATTTGAAAATTTGTACTTATAAACCTCAATAACCTCGAATTTATACATGGTACCTTTGTATGTGAACTTCATTCTTTTAGACCTTTAAAGGAGGTTACTACTTAACATTTAATGAATCCAAAATTGTTCCACGCATAGCAGGCTGGTTGGATTTTATGTAATGTTCAAGTTTATCTAAGCGCTGTTCTTTGGTCTTTGTTTTATATTTGTAGTTTTTAACTCAGCAGTGAGAACATTCGGCATGACTACGTTTGTCTATTTTGCCATTACAACAAGAAACTCTCAGGATGAACTCAAACAGGCTTTTTTTATCTTTGCATATAAATAAAAGTAAAATTAAGATTTTATTTGGTGCGTCAGTAAGTTCCGGGACTTAACCCTTTGGTGTAAAGTTATGTAGCTTAACATTAATATGGTAATGAAAACTCAATTTCATCTCAACCATTTCAAGAAATTATTTGTAAGCTACAACCTTTAGTTGTAAGAATCCACTTCATTGCAATATAAATAAGAACTTTTAAAAACAACAAGACAGCATTTTTTGATGATGTTCCCCTCTTCAATACACAAAACTTACTTCTCATCATTATCATCATCATCAAAGTCGTTCCCCCATAGATTGGGGATCGTGACCATCATTAGTCTTTGTCACCATTGAGGTTAGGCGGGGATAATTTTCTCCAGGTGCTCTTATCAGCAGTGGTGTGTATAGAGTTGCAGAACTTCCTTTACACATATATCTAAATAACATTTTCTTCTTTGGCCCCTAGATTCCAAGCCAAGAACACGATCCTGGCGACTGGTGGTACCGGTCGCTCGTACTTCAGCTGCACGTCAGCCCACACGTGCACCGGTGACGGTACCGCCATGGCTGCTCGTGCTGGTCTCCAAAACGAAGATATGGAGTTCGTTCAGTTCCACCCTACTGGTAAGTGTTAAATGAGATCAGAACTGTGTTCGGTTTTAGTTAAGATTGGTTTTTGGTTGGCAAGAGTAGTGGCTGGAAATACAAAAAATTTATGTGGCCATATATGACATGTTATTGTGTGTTATAGGATATGTTAGGACACCGGTTTCGAAATGACAAAATAATAAATAATAGAAAAATATTTTTTTTTCTAAGTCTGCATCTAGTTCTATTTCACGCTGTGTTTTTTAATATGTATAAAATAACATCTTATAGTTACATATCATAAACTATTTACAGTCAGATACATCATGTCTGACCACTTCGAATGAAATCTTTTCGTGTTCCTGACGTAACTATCGAACTAAACTAAACCGTCATTATCTAGATAAAACTAGTTTCACTAATACTAACATACCGGTCATTAGCTCCGAGATTTTCAAGGCTTCCTCGTTCTTAAATTAGGATTTTTATCCCCTAACAATATTTTCGTATAAACAAACTAATGAAGAATTTACGAGATCCTTATAGCAGTTACAAAAATTGATGTTCAGTTAACTTGAAATGTTGCTCGCGGAAATGTATTGAAGATGGGATTCTGTTTTGAAAATAATCACGGCCATTGTGCATTTAGCCATAATATTTAAGAATCTGTCTGACGAATGACGTATCATTTCAATCATGTGACCATTTCTTTGCACGTATTACCCGAATTGGCTCATTTGGCCATGTACCAATTTTATTATATTATCTATACAAAATACATATGCGTATATTCGTATCGTAGTTAAGTAAATATCTTTGAATTTTATCATAGTAGGTAGGTACTCCGAAAACCTTTAACTAACTTTTACAAAAACATGTTATTTTTTCCTTATTGTTATTTGCTCTTTTACTTAAAAATAACGAGAAATGCAATTATTTGATTTAAAAAAAATGAGTTACATACACCGCCTCACGAAAATTAAATTGTTGAGAATGCTATAAAAATAATGTACCTACATTAATCATGTCGGCTGTTATCGTGCGCAAGAGTCTATTTTCGTGCGTTCCAAGATAAACTACGTAAACAAAGTATAATTTCGTTGCTATGGGAACTTATTTTAATGACTTTCTTTTTTACTGTCGAATAGCCTGTTTTAATAACCTATCTAACTTTAGATTCTCCACTGGAGAAATGGATAAAGTATTTTTAACATCTGTCGATGTTCTGTAATTCCCTTAGCATTGCGGGAGACGTTTTTGCTTCCTAGTTCACAAAAACAAAACATTTTGTATACTTAGCTAGCTTAAAATTCCATTTTCTAGTGCCTAAGAAAACCTACAGATATTGAAAGTATCGTATTCGTTATTTAATTTCAATTCAACCTTCATTTAACTTACTAGAATGTGTTTAACCTTGATTCGATATTCCTATTTTTGGCAAGCTCCCTCCACTACGTATCATAGCCAGCTATATTATGAACACTTACGGTATTTGGCAGAGGACCAAATTGAGGAGATTTTATTTGAAAGCTATCATGCAATAATATCAATAATTTGTATTTGTGATAAACGTTTTTATGCTTGTTTTCATCTTTGATAATAAGTATTTAGGATCCTTGAATTTTTTTTCACGTTGTTATGGGTATGCTTCTATATCTCTATAATATATCCTGAAAACACCAACCAAATGATTATAATTCTCCGTTTCCTAATATGAATTAAATGATCGCTTCTATCAATTTTCTTTATAATATACGAGCAGCCCTCTCCAGCTCCCGCACGGGTCCAACTATTTCTCTAAAAACGAAATGGTCACTTTTTCCCAATTTTAGCCTCTACTTTTCTAATATTTTGTATGATGAGAATTTTCTCAAGATAAAAACGAAAACAACAAAAAGTAATTGGCAAAATTCATCCGGGAATTTTTGACTTATGCGGTTATCAACACATTTTGCGATCCATTTTTATTTATATAGAAAAACACGATCTTAAGCATTTAAAAAAAAAACGTACAGCAACCAGTTGCCTAGCCACTACGCCGACCGTGCCGTTGAGTTGTTCCTATTGTTTAATATCAGGATATTTACACATTTTTCTCCTTTTACCAGGTATCTACGGTGCCGGTTGTCTGATGACGGAAGGATGCCGTGGTGAGGGTGGTTTCCTCGTGAACGCTAAGGGCGAGCGCTTCATGGAGCGTTATGCTCCAGTCGCCAAGGACCTGGCCAGTCGTGACGTGGTCTCCAGAGCTATGACTGTCGAGATCATGGAAGGTAAGCTGTTGAAAGAAATTGGGTGTAATTTTAATTTTTGTTCGGTTGGTATATGGAGATTTTAAGTATAAAGGTGTAGGTGTCGACTGTTTTGTTCAACAAGTGATCATAAGCGCGAATGTCGAGGCTAAGCTAAGGTTTTTGAAAGTGTTGGTGCTTACATTTAAAACATTCTTGGTAAAATAAATAAATCTGAGTGTGGATTAACAACACTAGGCGTTTTTTTAAAGAGGAGAAGAAGACCGTCAAATTTCTTTTCTCGCCCAGGGTGAGGCTAGAGAGTGTGTGGTGAGGTAGAAGACTCTTGTTGGCTCTAAACCATCACACTCCTTCTCCTTGCTGCTCTCCTCCCGGCCGAATCCGGAGAACCTTAATACGCTTGCCCCGCAACCTCGTCTGGAGAGTATTAAGCCTAATGACGTTGTTGACGATAGAATGTTATGATATGAAAAATGTAGATATCTTTACGCTACACGATAGTAATAAGTAAGTAATATAAAAATAAACAAAGTATTATTACAAACTTGCGTGTCAGAATGCGGAATGCGGTAAATGATGAAATGTCTACAAGTACAAAGTACGAACCATCGGAAAATCCCTACTGCAATGACCTTACAATTGTAAATAAATAAATTAGTGCAAATATAAACGGTTAAGTGGCTAACTAACTGTGCCTATAAACGTACCGTTTAACCACAGTTATGTAAGCAAGGTTACTAAGAACAATAGATAATTCAACCGTTTCATGCAAGCAGTTATTTCTTCACACCTGCGTATAATCGTTATTCAGTTTGTAATTATAGATCTTATGTTGTTTACGAGATAGTTAATTTATAAATAATGATTTGTGTGCACTTAATGTCTTCAAAACACTTTATAATTCTTAAAGTTATAGATCTAAATCTATCTTTATCTATAGGTAATGCATATGATCGATTACTTAAAATAAATGTTATAGATAGTAGGCATAATGTATACATAAAACGTTTAAATGAATATGAAGATGAATTTGGATTGAATGCAATGCAAACAGATTATATCTTTGCTGACTTATCACAATCTACTGTTATTTAGGTAGGTCATACATTAAGTTTTACTGAAGCTCAATTACAAATACCACCTGCACAGTTCTTTTGTATGCAAGTAAATAAAGGTTGACTTAGTACATAGATAGTAGGTATTGTTTTTGTGTTATAACTTATTATTAAATATACCATTATGTTAATGGTTACTCACGTAAGCGTTTGACGAGGAAACTCGACCAGTTTCGAGCTGGGCTAGGGGCTCATATTCATTAGCAGTGTTGCGATATACACGATGCTGCGAAACTAATTCATTTAACGCAGACGTTATTGTCAAACTATCGTCATCAGCAAGACGTCTACTGCTGAACAAAAGTCTTCCACGTCGAACGACAACTCGCCACCTGCATACATTGGCTCCCCGGGACTCTGACGATGTCGTCGGTCCACGACATTAAATGTATTATTATGGTTTTTAATGAAGCGTTTAGATTTGTAGGTTTTGGTCAGCTTAGTAGTGAAACAACGGTTACTGTCTGTGTACTCAATAAATTTTGATTTTTGTATGAACTTGTACTTAGTATAGATTTCTATTCATAACAGTTGTGATGCTACGTATAATAAAGTCAGTAAGAAAGTGCATATCTTAAACTTCTTAATTTAAAGCAATAAATTCTTCCACCAGGTCGCGGCTGTGGTCCCGAGAAGGACCACGTACACCTCCAGCTGCACCACCTGCCCCCAGAACAGCTGAAGCAGCGTCTGCCCGGTATCTCTGAAACGGCTATGATCTTCGCTGGAGTCGACGTCACCAAGGAACCCATCCCAGTACTACCCACCGTGCATTACAACATGGGTGGTACCCCCACCAACTTCCGCGGAGAGGTTAGTATTCATTTATTTATTACTAGCTTCCACCCTCGGCTTCGCCCCCGTAGTATGTTGATGAAAAGCAGCCTATGTGTTAATCCAAGGTATCACCTATCTACATGCCAATTGTAACCAAATCGGTCCAGACGTTTTTGCTTTGAAGAATAACAAACACACATCCATTCTCATTTATGATACAAGTAGGATTTTTTTATGATTTTTTACTTCTGTATCTTATTTTATTCCAAAAATTCGCCACAGAACTGTATGTGTGTATTTACCAAAATAACTATATACCAAAATAGGGTAGTTGATATTTTGAAGAGGAAAAATATAACTATCGTATTTTGAAATATCATATATCCTAATGTAATTCAATCCAATGCGCAGTTACAAATGCATTTTCCTGATTTACTGCGCGTTATTTTTTCCCGCGCTCTAATTTCAAGATAAGGGAGAGTAGGTAGGTAGTGAGTTTATACTTTATAGGTATTTATAGGGAATTATATGAGAACCGTTATCATGTTGGGGTCAGCTATGAGTGTTTCCTTTGAGTACAAACAAATAAAATATTCATTAAAGTCGTATGTGACATATTGATTAATTGAACTATCAACCCTTTGGCGCGTTCCACTCGGATATGAAGTACAAAGAACATATAACGGCGCCATTTAACTTTATTATAAAGGGCAAGCACACTCATTGACATTACGCCGGGTACCTATTTAGCTGCGCGGTAATATCAAACTAGAATGTTCCACAAACTATTGCAGAAACAAAACTGACATTTTAGTTTTAATAAAAAGTGCATAGCTATTTCATTTCTCAGACAAAAAAGGTCGAAAGAAAACAATTAAGTAAGAACCTTTATGAAATGATGCTATCGAACTATTAATTAAATTTTTCTTCATTTATATTTCATTCTAACAATTAAAATGTGATCATCATCCTAAAATACGTTTCATAATATTTATTTTAGATTACTAGCTTCCGCTTGGGGCTTTGCAAGAATGGTATGGTCTGTGTCAATCCAGGCTATCGCCTTTTTACATACTTACCAAATTTAAAAAAAGTTTCAGCCGTTTTCGTGAAAGAATAACAAAAATACATCCATACATTCTCACAAACTTTGATATCTAAAATATTAGTAGGTTTCTTACCAAACACGACATCAGACCCGAGCTATTATATTATATACTAGCTACTGTCCCACGGTTTTACCCGCTGCTCGGCTCTTACATTACATACTTACCGTGATGTTTATAGCCTATAGCCTTCCTCGATAAATGGACTTACAAACACAAAAATAATTGTTCAATTCGAAACAGTAGTTCCGCAGATTAGCGCGTTCAAACAAACAAACTCTACAACTTTATAATATTAGTATAGGTTATACATATTAAAAATACAATAGGTACATAACGACATCCAAATTGTTACCCAGGTAATCACCCACTACAACGGTACTGATCGCGTGGTCCCTGGCCTTTTGGCCGCTGGTGAAGCGTCCTGTGCCTCAGTGCACGGTGCCAACCGTCTTGGAGCCAACTCTTTACTGGACATCGTGGTCTTCGGCCGCGCCTGCGCACTCACCGTCGCCGAAACTAGCAAGCCTGGTGATGCTCAAGCCCCGCTTAAGGATGTAAGTTTTATTTTGTTATAATATGTATCACTATTATCATTATTAGTCTGAAAAAACGTCAACTACTGAATACAAGATTTGCCTTAATCTCCTCATTTGGCAAAAGAAGATTATTTCGCCAAGACTTTTTTGTAAGGATGGAAAACCAGAAAATGTCTCATAACACCCTGATTGATTAAAAATTACTCTATTACAATTTTTGCTACGAATTGGAGTTATTTGTTATAAAACGCCTTACGGGTTTATTTCGCTAAGACGTCTGAAAACACCAACTGCTGAATACAAGATTTACCTTCATTAATCCCCACGCTTGGCAATCGAGTTGGGGATTATTTGGCTAAGACTTTTTGTAAGAATAGAAAACCATAACATTTCTTCTAAAGCCCTGACTGATTAAAAACGACTCCTTTTCAATACTCGCTCCGAACCGGGGTTGCAAAAAAAATATTGCGTTTAATCCTTAACTACAGCAGGAAATCTCATCGTTAATCTTTTAGGCTTATTTTAAGTAGAAATGATACCATACAACTACTTTTCGGTTATGTAATTAGTGGCTTTGTGACGCTAGTTTAGTAGTTCAAGAATCGCCACAACTGTCGTTGGGAACTAGCAATATTAAATAGCTTGAATAAGTTTTTGAGGTTTTTTTGTGAGTGGAATATCATCAAATGACTTCTCCCGCTCAGGGCCGGGAGGAAGTGCCAGACTCTTACTGACTAAAAACCCCCCTGTTCCTTCACCTGCTCTGGGCCGAGGTCGCGGTGCAACCCCGGCTGAAAATCAGCCCTATAGGGCCCCGTCTGTGGTAGTCTATTAGCTCTTTGAGGCGCGCGCGGAACGCTACGCGCCGTACGCTCCGGCCTGGTTCTGGTCGGGCGGCGAGCTGCCCTTACTCGCCGACCGCAGACCCGCGTTTATGCTGACCGGAGATTATCTCTCAAAGTTTTAGAGGTATGAAAGAAAAGGGTAGAAAGTTCGTCATCTTCCATTGAGAAGGGAGGATCCTTCGACCAGGGTGTTATGTCTGGTGGGCTACTCCCCGACGGTTGTTGTCGAGATTTTTGTATCGGTTATAATTGCGTTGAGAACTCTCATACCGCGATGTAGAATCTGAAGATAAAGATATTTAAGTGTAGGAGAGCCTTGCTTCGACACAAATAGGTCGGCTCGGCCTCACAGATAACCGGAGTGAAAACGTTTGGGTTTCGCCGTGTGACTGTGTGAGTGAGGTTACCCGTACCTTAATCCTTCTTCCCCTCCCCCAAACGCTAAATCTTCGAAACCCTTATCCCCAAAATGCTGTGAACACACTCGTACCCGTAACTAGTAATTCCTCTGCTATTGCGGTTTTCCTTGGTCACCGTCGATTGTCTACTATTAAGTAATCGGCCGGCTCGTGCCTGAAAAAAAAATCCAACAATTCAATAACTTTAGTCCATTAACCGAACATTTCTTAGGTTTATTTTGATTGCTACCACTAAAAGCTAATTTGTCTAACGCCACAATTTGTTAGGTTTCATCATTAGTCTTCTGTACGTCATTATTGCTGTTTCCATCTGTGTACAGTCGTGGGACGTCAGTTCAAAGTTCACAAGTAATCTACAGAGATGTCACTAGTGCGCTGTTACTACAGACTAAATACTAAATGACGTCAACGTGTTTTGATTGGTTTCTTGTTACTCTAGACTTGTGTATTATGTCGAATCGCCTAATTGAATTCATATATTTAGTTGATATTCATTGTTTTAATTCACAGCTGAAAAATTATTGATTTTTACAATTTGATTTTGGTGCAGTTTGTATTTAGTGATAGTTTGTTAAGTTTCGTTTGTACTTTACAAAATCTTCAAGCAGGACCTTCATCGTCAATGCCAAATTTGTAAAAACGTCCATAAAAAAACGAACATCCAATGCTAAAAATAAACCAATGACTAAAAGTTAACTTAATTCAAGAATTAATTTAGTTATTGCTTAATTTGACCCTCGACCCAAGATCGGCAGCGAACGATTTTTATTATTCTTCGATCACATTTTAATCGGAAAGTAACATCTTGGTCTAAAAAAAAAAGTAACCTGGCAACAGGTACCACGCCTAACCTATAAAATTACCATCTTATACATTTTCCATAGATTAGAGTTTACCAGCCAGTATTATGCGTTAGAAGGCTCTTTTAAAAGTCAATACCGTTGAAAGTGACAGTTGTTTCCATAAATTAATAAATAAACATAAATGATAAAATAGTGTAGGTGTTGTCATTGACACGGATCACGTTTGTGTCGCAGGACGTTTAGTTCCGCGTCATTGATGACGTCACGGAATATTTTGACACACCCATCTGATGTTTTCATTTGATTACGGGAATGATAAATATCAATATTGAAAACATTGCACAAGTGAACTTACTTTACTTAACACGCGACGCGAGCCATGGTAATAGTTTTCCTGGACAGAGTAACATTTGCGTACTTATTGATATTTTTCTTATTTTTGTTCTTATTCTTTCGTTAACTATCTTCCAATTTGATATGGGTAAAATAAATTATGTCATTACAGTAACCATAATATAAACAACTAAAAACCTTACCATAGTTCATGTCGGAGACTACATAACTGATATATTATTCTCTGTTAAATTGATGATATATCGTCAATAACAAGTTGGCATTTTGCATAACAATTGGAAAAACGTCAATGTTATGTGCACAAGTGTAACTGTAAACCTTACAAAACAATATTGAATTCTTATTGCATATTTAAATATATATGACGTTATAAAAACTGTCTAACGTTAAGGCCATAAACAACAATATTGTCACAACAATTTAAAAGCGACATAAAATATGCGCTTGCAGTCGTCAAACAATATTAACAATATAAGAAGCGTACGATTCATGTTAAAAGTATTTTACGTCAACTAGGAAAAACAATGATATTGTCCTTTTATGAATTTGTGAAAAACATAAAATGACTTTTCTCGCACTAAAAGTAAGTTTCAAACACTGAATAGAAAGAAGTGCAGAAAACTACATATTAAACAAAATATATAAAAAATGATTAAAACCCACCCCGTTCCTTCTCCTGCTCCTGACCCCGTCCGCGGTATATTATTTCGCTTTACCCGCAACCACGGCTAAATGGCTTCCCCTAGATAAATGGTAAAGGCGAACACGAGTCAATCATCAGGTTCCGGTTATTTAGACTATTTTACCCGGCTTCTATGGGTAATCCGAAGAGCGTGATTTGGTTGATTTTTGGTGATTTGGTATCGAATGTATTTTGTATTCTCTGCCGTCACCGCTCGGCTATTTCATGGCTATTATGCTTAGACAAAGGTGTATATAAAAAAGTATTCCTGCCAAGTTTGTTTGCGTCGCAAATTTTCCGTCTATAGTGGCACCGGTTTTTTGTTTTGATCACTTTTTTTATACAACCCACGTGCAATAAAAACTCTTTAAATGGCCGTTTGCCACTTCTACATTAGTTTTTTTTTTGTTTATTGTAACGTTTAGTTAATGTATAAGTATCTTGTTATTATTTTATAGAAGAATTTATTATGGAAGTTCGCCAAAAGATTTTCGTAATTAGGAATTTCTGTTGTCGCGACAATCTTGGGAATCCTTTTCTTGTGCCAAGTTTTTGTGTATGGGAATGTTCTAAGACTATGTCTAGACTATATACTGATTCACATTTAGTTGCATATAATAAAATGATCTTTGAGATGATTAGACGCATTTTGTAACTAAAAATGAAGTCATGATCATCTCGTCATCATCTTATCTGATTAGGTTTCTATTCTTGTCAAATTAAATTGGTCTTATAAAACCAGGATCAAATTAGATTAACATTTTTAAACTTAAATTATTGTTGGTTGCAACTGTTTCAGCGGAAAATTTAATAAACAATAACATCAAAATACAGCAGTGTTTTTTATAAATAAATAAAATGTATGTATTTTTTATAAATATGTATATCGAATGGCAAAGAATGATACGCGAATGCTCTGTCTAAGCTGTAGCGTGCTTATCATGTGTATGCGCACTAGTTATACATACATATATATACATACAGGCCACTGAGAGGGAATACAAACATGTAACCTCTCACTATCTATACCATGTTTTGACCTTTTTAACTCTTTGCCGGTATTATATTAAGCAAACTGCGATACCTCTTTTCCTTATAAAATAAGTATTTTTTGCAGCTGATTGTCTCTTTATCCAAGTAACTAATTCCCAATAATACATAACTGTCGAGTATAAATTTAGAAGTTCGAATATTGCCGGATCAGAATAACTGAAAAGTGATTGTTACATTTTAACAATATGCTTTAAATTGATAATGAAGTATAAAAAATAGTGTGATATTTTCATTTTAACCCGATGTAAAACCAGGGACAATGCTTATATTTTATTTATAATCCCATTTATACATTCGAATGCGCAATAAAATGGAAAATCTCAATGTTATTGAAATTATAACCACTTATAAACACTGTAAGTTGTATATGAAACGTAATTTTAATACATTTATTAATTTATACAGTCAACCGGCGAGGCTAGCATTGCGAACCTGGACAAGGTTAGGTACGCGAACGGTACGATCTCCACCGCTGACCTGCGCTTGCGCATGCAGAAGTGCATGCAGAAGAACGCCGCTGTATTTAGACAGAAGAGCACGCTTGAAGAAGGTACGGTTATTATTATATTAATATAAATTTTTGTAGTTGAAAAACAAAGAACCTTCTCCATATTATTATGTTTATTGACAGGTCAGCGTCTCATCCACGACATCTACAAGCAGATCAAGGACGTTAAAGTTTCCGACCGTTCCCTGATCTGGAACAGCGATCTGATCGAGACCTTGGAGCTGCAGAACTTGCTCATCAACTCTGTGCAGATTGTAGAGGGCGCCCTCGCTCGTGAAGAGTCCCGCGGTGCACACGCCCGTGAGGACTTCAAGACACGCCGTGATGAACTCGACTATTCCAAACCTTTAGATGGACAGGTAAGATGGTCTTACTGTTTTTGGGGTGGAGGGTAACAGAGCAGAATTATATCAAGGCCGCCAATACACATTCGCAACACCAGAGAAGTTACAAGTGTTTTGTCGGCCTTTCGGGGGGAGGGGGGAGTGCGTCTCCGGATACTACACTACTCTCAAAGCTAATCATACATAGGGAAACATTTTTCCACACTGGTTTTTCTTTCAAGCGTACCAATATTATGGCCAAAGTATTAGTAATATACTTGCTATTTTTAAACAGCATTTGATGTTTGTTGGCCTATGTTTTGTAAGCAAAATATTCAATTTAGAGATCACACAAGTTACATCGAGAATCGAAGCCGCTACGCATTGCACAGTAGTCGCACAGAGATAACGCAGATTGTCCAGTCATAACAAAATGAATTTATTTTACTATGAATGTAATGTTTATGAAATGTATAACTATTTAAAAAAATTGTGTTCTCTTGAATTGTAAAAACATTTTTAATAATGTTTTTTGGGCAATATTATATGTGGTTTCATAAAGAGGTTGTTGACCGTTTAAAGTTTATGATTAATAGACCGCGACGTGAAATTATCTAGAGATGAGATAATACCAAGCGCACGCTCGCGCAACGTGACAGCGGTGGAGTAGCCCGACTATTATTATCGATAATCGATAGATAGTTAGCAAATTATGTAGTAGAGCCCCATCATTTCGTTACAAACCTGTATCTCGCGCCCACTTGTTTGGTTATTATGTCCAAGGTCTGCGAATTTCGTAAAAACTGGTTTGTGTACTATACGCAGACAGAGTTACTTGTTTCCGCATATATATTTTTATACAGGTCTCTGTAACAACCTGCTCCTTACTCGTACCTGTTAGTGTAGTTCTGACGCCCAGAATGGAAATATTCGATGTTGAAATTGTCAGTTCCAAGTTGATATTAAATTAATATCAAGTTATATGTATCAAGTTATAAAAAAATCAAGTTATAAATTATATTAAATTAAATTACTAAAGCAATTTTTAAAACAATACAATTATGTAGTCTTGCGGTGTACCGTAGTTATAAAACTTCTTAATAAGAACACCATAGCAATGATTAAATAATCCCATATGTCACCTCCTACTATGATCCGTTTCCGAGCCGAATTTTCTTCCAAACTGTTTATTAGCTTTCACGTGAAAAAGTAAAGTTCGTACATCCTTACAGTCGTTCACATTAATTTACGTTCTCAATACCAGCAATTCATTATATTTCCGAATTGAATGTAAATGGGTTTCGGACATATAATACGGACGTAAAATTAATCTAATCAGGCTTTTGTTTTCTAAAGTAGAAATAGCACGGTCATCCAGGTCTTTTATTAAACAATATACCGTTCAATACAGACTAAACTGCCCTTCGAGCAACATTGGAGAAAGCACACTCTGGCCGAGACCAACATTGAGACAGGAGAGACTAAACTGTCGTATAGACCCGTCATCGACGACACACTCAATGCGCAGGAGTGCAAGACAGTGCCACCTGTCATCAGGACCTATTAAACACTTTTAGTTGAAGTAACGTAAGTATACTCTTTTAATACGTTATTCAAATCAACATTCGCCGTAATTATCAATATTTATATAGCCTAGCCGTATATATATAACAAGCTCGTCCTTGGCTGCTGGCCAGTCATAGCGTGTCTCTATAGCATATAACCTCTATAGCCTTCCCCGATAAAGGGACTATAAAATCAAAAGGAATTGTTGAATTCGAACCAATCGTTTTGGAGATAAGAACGTTCAAACAAACAAACTCTTTAGCTTATAATATTACTATAGATAATAAATAGCCTAGAAGAGTTGATTGTATTACTTGTCAGGGATTTGCTGATCTCCGACGCTTGTCAGGCGGAGTGAAGACAGTTCAGAAAAAAGTTCAGGTATATCTGAGATTGGTGTTGTCTGATTTGTTTTAGTCCTTTAGTTGACTCTTATGGCATCCTGAGAAGTAGTAGTCACCATACGGCTATAAAAAAACCCTAACCCCATTATTACAAAACAAGATTAACCTTTAATGTAGGTTTAAACCATTAAGTCAGGTTTTGAATTTTTAATCTTATTCACACCTACCTTCAATTTGAAATTCAAAAACTGGCACAATGGTTCGACCAAGACTAAAGAAAAACTTCTTACATATTATTCTTACATTCTTTTGCAATAAGGCCGTAAAGATACAAATATTAATACTACCTATACTTCTTTTCCAGGTAATAAATATAATTTTCTCAACATGGGTGCTGACTGAGCCATTCAGTATTGTCACACCGACTGCTCTACCAACTTAGTGTTCATTTCAACCTATTTATATCATTATTTATTGTTAGTTTAGACATTTTAAGTTTAACAGCTTATTACAGAAACAATACTCTCTAAATTTCAACTAATCACTGGTCCTAAGTCGTTCGACAGTACAAACGTAGTGCCTCATATGTTCCTTTTAATGTTGTAACACGGGCTCATGTTAATCATGGACAAATATTGTTATATATTTCGTAAATAATAAATATCAGCATTTATTATGATTTTATTATACTAATACTGTCTCCAGCAGCCCCAGGGTACTTAAGAAATTTATTGTTAGATACAAGTGCCGTGCCTACATCTCCTGAAGTTACCGTCTGATGCAATGGTTACAGATCTTTGTTGTTTATTGAAATTATCGCTTAGCCTGGATGCTAAACGTGATAAGTTTTTTATGGATGTTATTTTACAATGAGATTGAGAACATATTTCTTATAATCTTTATTACAATTAATACACACAATTTACGAATCTTGAGCTCAAAATAACTATCGGGTTTTGTCTCAAACTATTTAGTAAGGTTCGTCTCCTTCAATAACTTTGTAACGCATTTTTAAATAAATTGATATTATTATTATTTTTTTGTGTAAAATTTATTTCGTTTTCAGTATTACGGTGAAATTAAAATTAAATCATGAATGTACAACACTTGTGTAGATGTTAAGACAAAGATGTAAAATATTAAATATTATTAATAAAAAACAGCACCATACTTATGTTTTTTATTTTTTTATAGGAACCTGTCGCGGTTAGGATATTTTGCAGAAATAGTTATTTTATGTTTCATGATATAAAGTTGAAGTTACAGTGTGTACAACTGAGTAAACAAAGACAAAACTGCTCACAATTCCACTTTCAAGTCATATTCTTTTCGTGTTGATTTTCCCTAAGACGACACACACACAGTATCTGCGAAAGTATACGATTACACATAAAAGAAAGCTTGCATTGTCTATATCAACACATTGTGTATTAATTTGTTGATCAGTATGTTCCCTGGTTTGATGTAATTAGATACATTTGCGGAATAAGAAAATAATTCAACAAAACAATCTCTTTGAATGCTACTTGCCATCGTTTTTACTAACTCAAGCACCAATTTTTTTTGTTTGAGGACAGCATACGACCCTCCATATTACCTGATAGTAAGCAATCAGCGCCGCCCAAGGACACCCGTAACCAACACGACTGACCTTTTTGGTATTAGGGTTTTGGGGATTTAGGGATTGGGGTTAGGGAAGGATTGTATTCCTGCAACCTCACTCACACGGCGAAAGAACACTACCCCGTGTTGTTCCGTGTGTTTCACGCTAGGTAATGAGGCTGTGGTATTTATCACTCCAGTCGAGCGGATACATTCGTGCCAAAACATGGCTGTCCTACTTATGTATATCAGTACTCAGTAATATATGTAAGTATATTTTAACACACAGGTAAGTTAAGTACCTACCTAATACTGCGTAGACTTGTATCTACGCATCTAAGTTATCTATATAATATAGTGTCTCTCCTTTTGTGCAAATAGGCGGATACTCAGGTACCTCATAAGCCTTAACAAAGAATCGTGCTGGTCTAACTAGACAGACACGAAAATAGTAGGAGAAACTGATTTTTAGAAACTGTTACAAACCTGCCTAATAAAAGGAAAAAGATTGAAAAAAGAAAGCCTGCTTTTTGGGAACCCTTTTTTCTCCGGATATCTCCACAGGATCGTGGCCAGCTCGTACCACCACGAGGCCGAAGTAGCAGTTGGAAAACGCAGTAAAAAAATATGTTACAAAAAGTTGAACTTAGCGAAAATTCTCCATACATATTACTTAGTATACAAATTACTCTATAGCTACAAATTAGCAAATGGAACATTGTACCGCTGCCGCGTCGGTTTATCTAAGTAGGTAGGTACGTATACGTCCACTTTGAATGGAAATTTACCTAAATCTGATCTTTGTAATCTATTCTTACTAATTGGCAATGGAAAGTCAGGAACTGAACAAACTAATTTGCATTAACAGATAACACAGTCAATGGCGTCGAGTACTACACGGGTAACACTATCACGCTCCCTTTCTAGAAAGAGCATAGTTTTTACTCTCAATAAGGTTTTCGATTATAATTTGTCCGTCGAATTCGTCTGTTGTAAGGTTAGGTAGGTTTAGGTACCTTCATCACTAATTACTGTAAACTTCGGCCTCTATAGCATACCGTATGCTATCTAAGTAAGTACCTACCTAGTTTTAAACACACACAGAAAATAATTCCAATTCTAACTACCTACCCTCTCAAAATTGTGCACATACTACCACCTATAAGTGCCCGCTGAAAAAAGGCCTGAATGAACTTTATCGCTACCTTTGCTACTCATAGCGAGCGACTATTTCAAACATAGGTACCTACCTACCTACTACTGCACGGTTGGCGCGGTGGCTGAGCAACTCTTTGAGTCATTGGTGTGATCCATAGATTGTTGTTCCGGATTTGGGTGTGATGTGTATAGGTACATGTAAAATTGCATGTAAACGTATCCACGATACAGGAGACAATCCTAGTGTAGGGACAACGTTTAAAAAAAAAACTTATTACAATTAAAAATTATAATCTAAGAAAGTTGTATAAAGCATGCAAACATGTAACTTGGATAAAGTCGCGTTTTTTATTTTATTAATTTATCCCTCCCCAATTCGTAATCCCTAAAAGGTCGCCAACGCACTCGTAACTCCTCCATGCCGTTGCGGGTGTCCATGGGCGGCGCTGGTTACTTACCATCAGGTAATCCGTCTGCTCGTGTACCGATCTATAACATAAAAAAAAATCTACTATCTCCACGGACTCGGGGTCCGTGCCCTTGTACTACTTGTAAGGTTTCGAACCCGCTTCCTCGTGCATGAGGCGCTGACACGTTAACCTCCGTCCTACCATGACAATTAACGAACGACTAACAATATTCTCTCAAGTATGTACTGAAAGCAGTAAGTTGGTACAATGTTTCAAGCTATAACATCTAAGAAAATTAACAAGATGACTTAGTCTTCACTATCTACTTTAGGAACGGAGTTGTACCTACTAGATATTGCTAACATCTGAACTGATAGGATTTAACATGAAATTGCCCAGCCTGTAGGTTAACCCGCCACAATATCAATATCTTCGCAATCTGGGGCACGGCACGGTATCTATGGAGTACCTATGTATCTATTACATTTAAAACAACAGACAAGAAACTGGCACCTAATATTACGTACAAAATAGTGCGGTAGGTACCTATCTATTTGCCTATCCACAAACACTAGCACCTATCTCTACCTGGTCTTCGGGGAATAACAACTTCAGATGACGCTTGTTATTTTAAAACAAGTAGAAAAGTAGGTAGCTTCATAGCGGAATGGAAAATATTATAATTTTACCGCGTGCGTTCGCGCAGCGGAATGTTGTTGAATTTAAAGATTTTAATTATGCAGATATTTAGTGTATGACGTCGTATAATTGTGTATGGTAAAAAAAAATTTGTGCACGCAACCATTGTGGAGAAATTCACCAAAAACTGATTCCGCTGGGCGAACGTTGTCCTGGCGGAACTTTTTTTAATCCATAGACTTTAGAAGAAAAGAGATGTATCCAAAAATTAGTGTGTATTTGTGTGTGATTGTGTATGTATGAATAAAACTAGTGCATGCATAAACTTCTGAGAAATTCAAGTTTCCGCTACGCGAACGTTTGGCCATTAGCTAGTTTTCATATAAAGCACTTACATAGAGAGCTGTAGATTTTTACACACGTTGTTTAGAATTTGTTTATATTTGTTTAAAAAACAGATTTAGAAAAAATCGTAGGGTTTACAAGATAAAAATATAAACGTAAAATACGCTTATCAGGTCCTAGTTCTTAAAGTATGCACTTTGGGGTCTAGATTTTCACGTTTATACAAACCTTGTAAGTGTCTGCAACATGTTGCCAAGTATCAATGATGTTCCGTTAGTAATTAAATAGTTATAGGACAATTATGACAAATTTACCATGAATAGATCACTGTTTACAAAGCAGTCAAATATCACGACTTTCTAAATGAATTGCATGGTAAAATGTATGCCAGTAATTAGTGTATTCATTCAACTATTCACATGCAAAATTTCATGTCATTAAATTCAGTAATTAAAGAAAAACAATTATAATACTGACGAAGCATCGAAAACCTACATAACCCGACCAAGTTCGGATGGCTACAAAAAAGCGGCCGTGCCATATATCTAAGACACGTTCTTAACTTTTCAATATAGCATTTATTAATATGGTACAGTATCGTACACAAGAGTTAGGAAAAAATAAAACAATTAAAAAAAAATCGATTAAAGAAGTGGTTTTTTTAAGTTATTTGATTGTTTGATCCACTAAAGTTGCAAAGGGGAACGCTCGTGCATGCCTAGTCTATTGGTTAAATAGTGTAATAAGCTACAATATGATAAACATTTACCTAAACAGTAGTACATACTTACATGTGGTAAATATTTAATTTCCCTAAGGGGTCTATAGTTAGAATCCTGATCCGTGAAATCTTCAATAGAAACTAGCTGTATGAATTTTATTTGTCTTAAATATAATTAGATTATATCTCAAGTCTCAAGCGCATACTTAAATAAAGTACCTACGTAAATAGTACCTACTTTCTGTCATAGTCAAATACATTTAAAAAAGTAGGTGTCCAAAAATAAATGACATAAAAATTATTTCGAAACAACAAATGTGTTATCACCTGTACCAATTCAATACCGGTATTATACTGTAAATTTTGGGATGTTACCTAAATATATTGCACAGCCGCTTTTTTGTAGCCATCCGAACTTGGTCAGGTTATGTAGGTTTTCGATGCTTCGTCAGTATTATAATTGTTTTTCTTTAATTACTGAATTTAATGACATGAAATTTTGCATGTGAATAGTTGAATGAATACACTAATTACTGGCATACATTTTACCATGCAATTCATTTAGAAAGTCGTGATATTTGACTGCTTTGTAAACAGTGATCTATTCATGGTAAATTTGTCATAATTGTCCTATAACTATTTAATTACTAACGGAACATCATTGATACTTGGCAACATGTTGCAGACACTTACAAGGTTTGTATAAACGTGAAAATCTAGACCCCAAAGTGCATACTTTAAGAACTAGGACCTGATAAGCGTATTTTACGTTTATATTTTTATCTTGTAAACCCTACGATTTTTTCTAAATCTGTTTTTTAAACAAATATAAACAAATTCAAAACAACGTGTGTAAAAATCTACAGCTCTCTATGTAAGCGCTTTATATGAAAACTAGCTAATGGCCAAACGTTCGCGTAGCGGAAACTTGAATTTCTCAGAAGTTTATGCATGCACTAGTTTTATTCATACATACACAATCACACACAAATACACACTAATTTTTGGATACATCTCTTTTCTTCTAAAGTCTATGGATTAAAAAAAGTTCCGCCAGGACAACGTTCGCCCAGCGGAATCAGTTTTTGGTGAATTTCTCCACAATGGTTGCGTGCACAAATTTTTTTTTACCATACACAATTATACGACGTCATACACTAAATATCTGCATAATTAAAATCTTTAAATTCAACAACATTCCGCTGCGCGAACGCACGCAATTTTACCTTAGACGAGTTCTTATAATGCCTCTAGATACCCTATTGCTAGGTATGTTGATAGATTTCTAGTATTTTTTGTTACACTTTATTCATAGGCATAGGTCTGTTTTGCTAGTAACAATCCGTACCTATTATAGACTATTAAAGTTTTAACCAATTTGTAATTAATTGGCAGCTACATACAAACTGTACCTAATAATTCACAATTCTTCTAAATATTTACATAAAATTGTATCATTATCTTGAAAAGACTACATTCGGTGCCTACTTATGTTGATCGTTACGTAGCTGCTCACTATAGCCACTGATAACTTCTCCAGGGGTCATGCGGCAGCCATTTTGTTAGAGCAGTCACATCTTTGACGTCCCGCGGTTCAGTTGAATCCCAAGTGCTGTGCTCACCCTCTCTTACCTCTTGCTAACTATACCAAGATTACATGGTGCTGTTTGGCACAATTAAGCTTACTAACACATACGGTGTGTGCCGAGGCCCTGTTACCAACGGCCTCAAGATTGAAACTCTCAATAACTTGACACTTGAGACCATTTTCTTCAACTTGTGTAAAGGTAAGTTTCACTTCACTTACTTCATAAAATTAATTATCTACTTATATGCTTGTGCTAAATATTGACGTCGTTCAACGACTTTTTTATATGTGCGTAGGTACCTATCAAATTAGGTATATCTATCCATATGTCAAACAAAATAAATAGGTAATATTTAAAACTGGTACATAATATACCTACCATTTTCTGTAGTTTATCAAAGATGGCACCAGAACATTATAGTTACTTACCTACTTAGATTCTACATTAATCTAACTGAATCGGTATATGACCGCCATTAAAGTAAGACTTATCCACTAACTACTAGGTATTAGGTTTATACCTAAATGTCTTTCCTTTGTTAAGTCAGCAGCTAAATGAACTAGTTGAAGACATACATTCTACATTGTTCACTGTACAATGCAATGACGTATTATATATACATCATTGGTACAATGTAAGTACGTAAGAAATGAAATGTTCAGTTGTAGGGCGTTTAGGATCACTTACCTACTGCAATTAGAAACATCACGCCTTGTAACCCTGGAATGGCCGTGTAGGTATTTTGGCAGAATGTAAGCGGGTGCTCACTTTTATGAAGTCATGAAATTTTACATATAATAAGGAATGAGCTAGTAACCGTACGTTCGAAAAATCCGAGAGTCCTTACTCAGCAACAGCGCTTGCAAGTTGCAACCGCTCGGCCACCATCACCTATTATTTAGATGCTTGTCCCTGTGTCTATATTTTGCAAGTACTATTTTGAATGATAAGCTCGAACCGATATATAACAGTGACTGATGTTGTATGTACTAAGCGATTACAATTGCAGCTAATGCTAAATTCGAGAGATTGTCTTGATTAGTCTGAGGGCGGCGAGTAGGGAAACCAGAACCAGACCCGCACGTAGCGTTCCGCGCGCGCCTCAAAGAGCTAATAGACCACCATAGACGGGGCCTTATAATCTGATATTCAGCCGGGGTTGCGGGGCAACCGCAATAAGTCAACTTGGCCTCGGCCTAGAGCAGGACAAGGAACGGGGTGTTTTAGTCCGTATTTCAGTAAGCGTCAGACACAAATGGGTGGGATAAGTCATTGATGACTTTTCCCTCACAAAAAAGCTAATAGGTACCTACTAAATTGCTTACGAGTTAATTGAAAAACTTTTTCCTTCAAAAAATTATAGACGTATCTTGTGTTTTGTTTCTTAAAACGACTTCTACTTTCTAATACAAACTTAAGCACTTCGTGTATTAGGTATCTATTGGTGCGTGCCAAAAGACCTCCCCGTGGTACACCCTAGTTTCCCGGGGTGAGTCTCTCTAGCGGGCTGTTGATAAGGTTGTAGTGACTGCCACCCGTAGCTAACCTACCTACATAATTATAAGTACCTACTTACCTACTTATAAAATATCTAAGTTAAGAAAAATCAATTTCAGCCTGTCAAATCAAGAGCATGGCTTCAATCCCACCTTCCGCGTTCTCTGCAGGTCGCATCCGCGACACACAACGTGACATGAAGATATCAAAAGAGTTTACAGGAAATCAATCCACTAAATTCTTTAACACTACACGTGAGTATTATTATTCTTCATTGCATTTGCTATGGGTTCCGCACAAAAATTGCTCCACCTTTGTTATAGTGTAGGTCGGCAAACCAACATTCGTACCACCTGGAGGTAAGCAATGGGTACCACCCACTTTTCAGGATTGAGAAAGCGAGGGAAGAAATGATTGGGTAAGCCTCCGGTAACCTTACTCATCCAGTGAAACAACGCAAGCGTTGCTTCAATCAATATGACAATAGTATAACTACAATCAAACAGATCGTGTTTAACGAGCACTTTACTTACATGACTTACAGGAAAAGGTATCTTAATAGAAACAAAATTATAATAGAAAAAGTATCAAAAGACCAGTAGGTGCCATTAATAATATGTATACATAGTAGTTACTTAATTTCTTTAACCACTTTTGTTTCAGTGATGGAACTGACTCCGCTGAAGTACAACAGTAAGCTAATGACCAGCATCTGGGGCGACTACAACCGCTACTCGCCGCACAACGTGAAGAAGATCAACGATGCTAACACATCCAATGTGGAGTTGCAGCAGTAAGTACATACCTACCTAAGTACGCATGTATTTACTTTGGTACCTATAGTTTACGTTTTTTTTTAATAAAAAAAATTGCCCCACACTAGGATTTTCTCCTGTGTTGTGGGTGCGTTTACAAACACAAAATTTTACATACACATCAACAATTTGTGGATCACACAAAGAGTTGTTCCGTACGGGAATCGGAATCGTGCAGTTGTGCGTACGTCGGACGGACATTAAACTGGGATAGAGAGTAATCAATACTTTAATTTTGGCGGATCTAGGTACCTATGGGATTTTTTGCTGTAGGTAGCCCAGAGCGCCATGGACAAAAGCAGCCCTTACCCCCCGATAAACGGAAGCATTTTGAAACGTGTTAATAGCGAAAATAAGTATGAGAAAGTAGATTTGCGCAGAAACACGCAGTTCAATTAATAGCCAATAAAAAAGCGAATTTTGATATTTTTTCGTTATTTCTCAAAGCAACAAGTTTAAATGTGTTTGACACATGCAACATCACTTTACTAATTTAGTAGCTCCCTAAATTGTTTTAACCAAATGCTCATAAATTCACGATCCGCCCATGACCATTTGTGAGACCACGACAATTTTCTCAAAACTTCATTTTGATTAAAACTTTATTAATCTATATTAAACTTCGATTTCAGATCCGCTGCTAACTCCAACAAGAACGATTCTCCAATAACTCTGCTTTCTACCAAACTGAACAATATTTGGACAGCTATAAACATTTCAAAACACTAATAAATAACATATTCAATGGATACAATGAAGTGTTTAGATTATAAGAAAATATATAAATCCAACTAAAGTTGTTTAATTGTCTAAACCCAAGAACCCAACATATTCAACCAACTTGTGCAAAAAGATGGTCTTCTACTTCTCGAACAACAACCGCTTATTTGACTACAAAAAAGAAGGAGGTTCATCTCAAGAGCATTGTACTGCATTTGAAAGTGTATAGTGTCAATGTGATTCCATAGAAATTTTGTCAGTCATCAGACTGACAAAATCTTTTATCTTTCACATTTGGGTGAGTCACACCCAAATGTGAAAGATATTCTAGGAAGATACACTAGTTTTGATGTGAATCCACTTACGTTTCTCAGTTACTATAAAAAGTAGGGTAATCACCAGCATATCTGATGTAGCGTGATGGGTAGCTTGATGTGCTTCAATTACAGTAATGTATTACATATTGTTAATCTGTTTTTGTGTTTGATATCAGTAGGAAGTTATACCGATAGGCCAACTCAAAAGTAGCATGTGCATAAAAAATGTACTGACATTTCCGTTAATATTTACCTACACTAAATATCATGATAAACCAAATTGACAAAAAAATTATAATTATCTAGGTCTCACAGTACATAAGACATGTAGTCTGGTGAGTGACAGATACAGGAGTCTTAGTGATAGAATTGGGTAGTTTCCTAGGTCAAAAATAAATTAATTCGACTATTCAATACAATAAAATATTGAAAAATAACTATACTTTCATTCGTTTATCGATCGATACACAACATTTTGGATATTTTTAAGCTTATTTTTCAGAAATAAGTAAGCTATTGTACGTAAAAATAGTATGACGTCATAACTCAGTATTTCATACAAATTACATAGAAAAGTGTCATTTTTGACATTTGGATAAAAGTTTCTGTTAATTCCTCTTTTTTCAATTTGGGTGTATAACCCCACAAAAAAAACAAAATAAATTACTTCATTTGAATGTTTATTGCAAATGTTCTATCTCACATAATATATTTCTCTCCTCTGACTACAATAATATAATTAAATACCTAATTATGTTTTTATATCACAGACAAACCAAAACTGCTAAATTTATTATGATCTACTCTTTTATTAAAATAATACAAACGCTAGTAATAATTGCACAATCATCATAAGTTTGTTAGTATACAGCTTTTATGACAAAAGTAGTCAAATTTTAATTAATTTTGTTTTTACTGCAAATAAATAAAGAACAAAATAATGTGGCTTACTCACATGCATATCTTGAAAATGTTAACACTACTTAACATTGTACTGAAACATCATGCTATCCCTACTCTGGTTTGCAACAGAAACAAAATTAAATATGGTGTCTTCAAAAAAAAAAATTATTAACATGTAAGCCATATAATAAAGTAACTTTAATATCTATATACAAAATCTACAATTTTGGTTTTCATATAGCCTTCGTATAGCTTATTTAGGTATTAAAAAACAGTATGGGTTTTAGTTTCTCATATTGTGAGCATACCTTTTGAAATCACTGGTAACACAGTTGTAGGTTTCATTCATTGATCTAGTTTTCACAATTTAATCTAGTTTTACAGAAAAACTAGCACCACATGAGCAGCCTAACTCAGCATTTGGATTTTGTGTTATTCTAAAAGCTGCTCTGATGAGCTCTGTATGGTAATCTACAGTTGAACCTTTGATGAAATCCAAGGAGGTTTCGTCTATAACTACTTTGACACCATCTTTTTCGAATATTCTGAAAAAGATATAACATGTATTATTCTTCACAAGGACAAGCCAGTTACAGCTATACACTAACCTGAAAGAAACATATTGGTAAAGGTATCTTGCAATCTGTGAATATCAAGGGACTAATATGAAAATTACAAAGGTTATAAAATAGCAGTGCAGTTGGCAAGTGTAAAGATTAAAAAAAGACTGTCTCCAGACTTTCACACATAAATTTCTAAGATCTTTAACATGTTTGTGAAAAAAAATTGAAATGGAAAAACTTGTTTTCAAAGGGTAATAAATAGGTAGAGAAGAGGGTTTAAAATATTCATTGACTGTTCTACTGTCTATTCTTTCCTCATCTGTACCAATTCACCTCATTTTACCATAGGTATTAGATTATATAGAATTAGGCGAAAAGTTTATACATACTTGTCATCACCAGCTATTTTGGTATCTAAATCGAATTTGTATTGAAATCCAGAGCAGCCACCACTCTCCACTAACACTCTCAGGAAACTGTCTTCGTTAGTACACAACTGTTTTAGCCTTTGTACACAACTGTCGCTTATATTAATTCCTTCTGATGAAACAGATGCAACTGCCTTTCGAGCGCTGTATAGTTTACTGCTCAGGAGGCAGTAATTTTGATAGCCTAGTTTAATTACTTGTCTTGATTTTAAAAACATTTTCGTTCTATTATAATATAGTAGAGTTTCACAATATTAAATCACCACAGACTTTAAACCAGTGCAACTCAGAATTAAACTATGGCCCGACTACGCCATAAGGTCCCCACAACAATATGATTCGTGATAAGATCTTGTGATACAATCAAATTGTTAGTATTATTTATTTGCTATACTGAATCTACTAAATGAGTAGAATAAAGTGAAATAAAAACATATATCACACCGAATCTTGGTCTTCTCTTGTTACGTATTATTTTCTGCAAATTGTTGATTCTGTTCACTGTACGGTCGGTGATGTATTTGACACAGTATCAAGTGACACTGACACATGAAATGTCAGCTGACAGACATTTGACAATTCAATTTCTGAACGTTTAATATTTTTTTAAAGTAAGTTATTTGTCTTGTTATTTCCATACACGTTGTCCTACGAATGCTGCTGTAGAAAATGTAATAAACCTGTATTTATTATTTAATAAACCCAGAAATTAAGAAAATCTGGACAAGTTTAAACAAATTTTAAATAACTAAAAACTATATTTCTCATTTTTTCTAAACATTTTGCTATAAATATATTATTATGTATGATAAAAAACTAAGCAAAAAAACGCAGTAAAGATATTAATTTCGAATCCGACTGCCCATCTAAAAGCATAATAATATACGGAATGTTTGATTAAGAAAGTATTATCTGTGAAACTTGTGAACCTAGCTCCCATCAAATACACCCATAGGACAAACTTATAAAAAGGGCGTAAAACAGTCGCCTGATATTTTATAAGTTCCAAGAGCAAACAGAAAATATCTACTGAATAATTTCTCGCCTTAGCATCTTGATTCCTAGAATCCTAATAGGTTTATCAACTTATTTATCCTCTTATAATTCCTCCATCCCAGCCAAATCGATCACTAGATTACCTTCATGCCCTGCTGACATTCTCAATATTTTTTTCCACTCTTCCTACAACAATTTCTCGATCTCTGACACTATGGCGCTCTATAAAATCTTACTTTCGATTATTAATGAGGACTCCCTGGCGGTAGCGGTAAGCACCTCCTTTTGTTTTTACTCTCCCCTGACCCTCAGGCTCGTCCTACCATCAAATATTTTTTCTTGCTCCAGGTGGGACGAGAAGGAATTTCGGACTCTTACTGACTGAAAACTACCCTGTTCCTTCTCCTGCTCCGTGCCGGGGCCGCGGTACTTATATTATTCCATTTAACCCCGACTTGCTAAATAGGTCCCTAGTGTATTCAAAGGCAACCATTAGATAATAACTCTGATAGAGAACAGCGTTGATCACACTATTATTATAACACTCTTACCAATTTCTCATATCTACGACTGCGTTTCCCCCATTACAAAAAAGTACAAAGCTGAATACCTAAGTTGGTATTCATCTAAAAATATTCAGCAGTAAGCCAAAACGGGATTATATTACGAACTAGCGGCCTGCCCCCGCTTCGCACGGGTCCCACTATCTCGCTATCAAAGGGTCACTTTTTCCTAATCTTCTCTTCTACTTTCTAATATTTTCTTTGATAAAAACCTTCTCCTGACATATAATGATATATAAAGATAATAAAATATGGGACCCTTTATGTATCATAATTAACACATAAAAAATTTGGATGAAGCCAGAATTTCAATCGAAACGAAGAAATTCAAGTTGTGTCAGAGTAAAGCCTTATTTCCTTTAAACTGCGGTGATGCCAAATTATCAACCACCAAATGTGAATTCACTGCTTGTTTTGTTACTTCAGTTATTTAGGTACCTAATATGATCAAATACTAGAGGCAAAGACAAGCTGGGTATACCAAAATGTCGACTGTTTAAAGAGCAGACATTTTGCATGGGGTTGTGTTTGAAATGCTTTAATAAAATACCAGACGACTGCGGAGTTGACGCGGTGGCTGGACAACCGGCTGCCGTGCAACGTGTCGCGGGTTCGATTCCCGCACGGAATAATTCTTTGATCGATCTACAAATTGTTGTTCCGGGTCTAGGAATTCTATGTTTGTAAGCGCTTCCACGACACCGGAAGAAATAAAAGAGAAGAAAAAAAAATTTAGTTTGTGTCGTAGTACCACGGTGGAAGTACAATCAAAAGTTTGATTTCATGAAACTTTAGGCCTACCATGACGTGTTAAATCGTCAATCTTCCGAGTGAGAAAGAGGGATGGAGCTACACAGGGTGTATAACCCCCTCTGCACAGTTAACACAGTGGCTGGGCAACTGGCCGTCGAGTTACGTGTCACGCGTTTGTTCCCCACACGGAATATTCTTTTATGTGATCTACAATTTGATGTTTTTTGTCACCCACCTCCCAGCTTGTAAACGCTAGGTACGTGCTGGAATGAAAGAAACGTTTGCTATGGGCGGCAAGTGGCATTAGATAGCGAAACGTTAAATATAAAAACGGTACCGAACTACTGTTTTTGAATAAAATTTGGGTACATGAAGTTTTTTATTTCAATATTTTGTTAGTAGGTAGAAACCGTGACTAGATCATTCCTATTAAAAAAAACCTAATAGGGAAGTTTATACCTATTAGTCAAATTGAAGGTATTTTATTTCGAAATTATTATGTTTCTTCGAAATCATTTAAATATACAAGAGAAATATATTTTTTTTTAATAATTATCGTCAACTTAATAATGAAATAATAATTGTATTTTTTTTATATTGTATTATTTTTATACTGTGGTATTATGGTTTATATTGTAAAGTAGAAATAAATGCACGGAAAGCAAGTATTATGAAGTAGGTAATCCTAGAATTAACGGAACTTAACAGTACATTCATCCATTCATGCTAAACTATGATCACTCATTGTCTGATTTTAGACTGTAAAACAAGGTAGTAAAATTAGCTACTAGATACTGTCAAATTGGTTAGCGCGGGAAAATAATGTGTTATGTAAATTTTTGCCGCAAAAGTTACTGGACTAATTTTCGTTAATCTGTTTACTAATTTTTTATTTGTTATTGTTTAGTTTATAATATGTACGCATGGTTTTGGTCTTAAATTTGTCCTTACAAATTACTTATTTCCATTTAATTTCCTCTTATTTCTTGTCCATAATACCTTAAAAATGGTATTTACCCTTAACTTGCAACACCGTTGTTTATAATCCATTAGTTAGAGCGAGAGCGAAATACGATAAAAGGAAAGAGACAGGCAAACAAATCGGGGAGTGCTGGCCAGCGGTCCCTTGCATCGACACGTTTCTTATTAACATATTTTTATTATTTTGGATTTTGTTGTTATTTCATGAATAGAAGTGATGGCTTTTTATTCAAATGATAAGCTTTTTACGTATTTATGTTTAATTTTGTAAATAAATGGTATTGCAAAATTAAAGAAAGTGAAGCTTTGATTAAAATTAGACTATCTTTATTTTATTTTCAATTTCAGCGATACAAAATACTACAGAATAAAACTTTAGTAGCATTTTTTTGAAAAAAGATATTAGTTGTAGCATCAGAATCGTACAATAGTTTGATATATTCACTGGCCACCCTACTCCACTTTGCGCGGCAGCGGTCAGAAGGCGGAGCTTATCGGCAAACTCGCGTCGAAGCTGGATTCACTGTCAATTCGAGAGCCGCGAAGAGTACGCTCGCGTCTATTACGTGGTGTGTTTATAGTGAAGTGGATTTTGTGATGAGATTATCGAATGTCGTGAAGTGAAAGATAGTGTTGTTTTATCAAAAAGTGTAAACTTGTGGTCTGTACAATGTTTATGGTTCACTTATAGTGAATAATCAAAATGTGTGAATCACGATTGTGTGCAAAATTGATTTATGCCACGTAGTGACGCGAACGGGTAATGATTCCTAATGTGGAGTTCGAAGCAAGATGGTTAGAGAGACTCGGCACCTGTGGGTTGGAAATTTACCCGATAACATTCGTGAAGACCGAATAAGGGAGCACTTCAAACGGTAATATAACTTTTTATTTATTATGTTTCAGATATTTTCATATAAAACTTACTCCAAACTCCTGCAACTTAAAAAGTTCATGGATCTAAGATATTATCTAAACGTTCATGAGTAAGATATTAACGGCAATAACTAACTCTCTATAACGAGCAAATACCGGACGTATCTGCCATCCATGTATGTTTGTTATTGTTTATAATACTGAATTGAAAACTTTGTACTTTTATTAGTTTTATTAACATTTATAGCTACAATCATTCACCATAAGTAACCGCAGTAAAAGAGACTACCTATTAACAGAAATAGCTGATCTATGTTTGATGAACTACTTATCTCCGTGTCCATCCATACATGAAATATATTTATGCCACTTTAAAATTTTATAATACTAATCAGTTGAGATAGCAGGTAGCTAAAGTACTCGTGTCTGTTACGATCGTAGTTATAGAGAACCTTTGTTTGAGTTTTTCTTTTAAAATAATAGGGTATTGTTATCATTCTACATAATGATGTACCTACATAGCTATATTGAGCTATGTTAGACTCTGGAGAAATACTGACAAACAGGAGCTTCAGGAATTCGTCAGATAGGTTAATATTCGCAGGAGCCTCCAAAGAAACACATGTGTCAAAAACTATTAATTGGTCATGATACCGAGTAACTACAGAAAGTGACAAACCTATGTTTACCTATCTCGTTAAAATTCGTTCCACCATTAGTAGCTTATCGAAGTTGCTAATTGAATTACTAAGGCTCTTGATATAATCAATATTAAAAATATAGGGCTCTTGCCAGTTATCGAACTTTATGAACACTGTTCAGTTATAGTGTTCCAGTAACAGCACTCCAAAGCAAGTCTTCAACAAAACCAACTTTTATTGACGAGATTGATTTCAAATCTTTATCGTAATTCTACCACGCTGTGGTTGTAGGACTATAGGTAACGCTTATCCCATGGTTTCAGTTAAGTGTTTAGTTTTAAAGCGTGTTATTTATAAAAGAACGTATTATGCAACCTTATTTGCTATGTTTACGTATCATATATCAAATAATACCTACCAGGAAATATTATTTGCCATCCTATTAATGCATCCTATTAAATATTATACCGCGTAAATTTGTTAGCACGATTGTGTATTTGTTACAATTTCGGCTAAAAACTATCGAACATATTTGAGTGAAATCTGCACTGAGATATATTACAGTCTAGTCGAGAGAGAAAACGGAGGCTACTATTTATCTTGGTTCTTCGGACCGAAACCACTGCCAGAAACAACTTTTTATGATACAAACTGCAGAATGCCATCGATGTTTGAACCTTGCCTGTCTACGTTCGTATATATGCCGAAGAAAACAAATCGGTTTGCATTTGGTTTCTTTTATAGGGAACTTTCAATGATACTCTAAATGTGGTGCTTGTTTCCTGGCTTATTTATAGTTTAAAGTTACTTTAATTAGGTCCGTTCACACGTAAATTCAGATACTATTCTGAAATTGTCTTTAACGAAAAAGATCACCAACACGTATTATTCGTCGATGTCCATAACACGCCTTCTTCGTAAAGAAGCATTATTTGGGGGTTTAGGACATAGCTTCCATGTTCTCTTTATAACAATATACGCCTCTTGGAACAGCTAGTTAATAGTAGAATATTTAGTTTTGTATTTAGTAAATCAATAGTCTTGCCACCTTCACAAATCCCTCTGCTTTATGTCAACTATCTAACAACCTTTTATGTGTATTATTTGTCAACCATAATGCATATTAATTCATGCGCCTACGACTACTATCCACTATAGATACCACATGCCTTCCCTTATTTTATTCAGGAATACACGTAAAGTTATACTTTATTGCGTAAATTTTTACTTTTATGAGTTACGGTAAATTTGTTATATTTTCACGCAATGTGTTAGTCGGTACCTAGAGTCAAACTCGAGGATAGCTAAAGTAATTCGATTTAAACTCATTGAAAAAAAATATGGAGCATTTCATTTAAAGTACGATGTACGTCCGGTTTCCGAAAGGCCGATCAATGTTAAAATCAATTTAATCTCTTGTCAAGTCATCTGATTGGTTGACTGAATTATCAACAACCAATCAGATGACTTGACAAGAGATTTAACAGGAGATTAGTTAATTTTAGCGTTGACAAGCCTTTCAGAAACCGGGTGGTAGTCTATCAGGGTTGCCTTTAAGTTACATTAAGTTGTGAAGAGCGCTTAAACTTTAAACAAAATAGTCTGTGCTTATTAATCATGCAATCATCGCCTACCTAATAATAATAATATCCATAGTTATCATATCCACCAGTCCATAGCAACCCATATTCATAACCCTATCAATTTTTACCACATTTCACAATAGTCTTGCATCAACCGGGGATTGTCCTTGGGTGCACTTATATAGTGCATACAGGGATAATTGCCGGCTGATGTCCCATCACATTTAGATTAAAACTGTTCAACGGGCCTCTGCGAGTTGGCTTCGGCTCCTCGTACGACTTCCAAAGGTCCGGGACCCTGTGGTCCCGTGAAAGGATAGAACAAACAAATAATAATAATAATATATTATTATAAAGAATTCTTCAATCAAATTTTTATTGGCGCGAAGATAAAATGGGTATCGTCTGTGTTTTATTATTCTTCTGAATACACAACCTTATGGAAATTGGAGTCACGCCATTATCATAATTCGCCAAGGCAATCATTCCGTATCGACTGCATATTTATGAAATAACGAAAGGCATTCGGTGGTCAAAGATAGGTATCATCATATCGTAAGATAGGTACCTACCGTCTTGCTTGACTCTTGAAGCTAAAAAAGGAGAATGTGGCCCATAATGTTATCGTAAACTTAATAGGTTCACAGCAAGTGTTTTTTCCATTACCGCCACAAAACGATAAATAGGCAGACAACATTGCACAAATAAAATGAATGGTTTAAATATCAATGCAACCTCGAGATTGGTTTGACCCAATTCTCTTGTAAATGGCGGAACAACACTAAAATGAGTAAAGGCAGATTTATATGATTGTCTTTAAGAAGTCTCCTCCAATTTGGCCATGATGAATCCATCTACTGGACCAGGGCAGACAATTACCAATTACGATAATACTCGATATTATTCTCCCAAGATCAATCATAATTATCAATAATCTCAATCTCAATTAAAGTACTGACCACTGCCTACTGCGAGCAGTAAATGGAGCTCGATATAAAACTACTAATAATAGAATCGTTCAAGTTTCATTTAAACGTCTCTACTGAAATTCCTGACACGAAGGTAGACATACTGTATACATTTACACTACTGCAGTTATATAGGGTGTCCGATAAGGAATAAATAACCTTGAAATTATTTTAGGTATATATTATGACGATTCAGAAAAAAAAATACGTGGTATTAATTAATTTTTGCAACAATGTTGAGATATCGGGTTTGTAATAACGCTAAATAATAATGTACGTGAATGTCGAAGGACCATTTTCTTTTTCCTTTAGGACCAGTCCTTCTATTTCAAGACATAACTTAGGTACTACTTACTTTATTTTGTTTTTCGTATGTCAAAAAGTCAAGCCAAAAGTCAAAAATCATTTATTCCAATTAGACCTTTACAGGCACTTTTGAATGTCAAACAAAATTTTGAAGATATCGTGTCAGTCTGTCGGTCAGTCCTCTTAGTGAAGCTATTTGCTCGTTCCAAAGTGTAGATTCTGATGGAAAAGAACGAGCAAGAAACTCCATGATTACTCTTTTTAAATCAGTTTCACATACAGATTCCTTTAACAGTCGGTTCAATTATGTGTATACATATGTTTTTCTGAATTACCTTAACATGTACTATAAGACATTTCAAGGTTACCGGACACTCTGTATATCATAACTAAACACATAATTGAAAGATGAAATTGATAAAATTATTTCTCCTACGACCGAGTGAAGTTGTCTGATAAATAAATAAGTCAAGTGTAAAAAATAATTTGTCAAATCTAACATGACTTCAACAAGCGCGACGTTCTCGTCCTTGGACTATAAACTCTGACAAATATATGTATATCATCGAATAGACTAAGAAGTTTTGTATAACTTGTTAATCAATATAATAATTGCCTACTAAATATGCAGCTTTCCAACATCGTCGCAATTATAATAGGACTGTTTGTCATTGACTAGTTCCACGCTCTTCGAAGGAAGTAGAGCGTGTAGAAGGAAGCAGCAGATTCGAAGTTTTCACAAATTACACGTTGTCCTAAATCACACATTACACATTGGTGGGCAAATTTGAATTATAGTATAATTGTGCATAATGTGGAATAGGTTCATAAATTCTTGCAAGTTCCATGAAAATCTCGCCGTGTGGTTTATATTTTTATTTCCCGGCAATCAATGGCAGATATTTTCTTCAATATCTGGGCGATTAATCTATGCCCTAAATTGTTGTCTAATAAAACTGATTGCAGCATTGTAAACCCTTGTAAATTGTAAATAATTTTCTGTACATTGATCCAGAAAATGTTTAAAATGAACGGTAATTCGTACACTGTAGAGTAAGAGTAGATAGAGTAGAGAGTACTGTGTGTAAATGACTGAATGTCTTCATAAGAACACCGAAAGCGCAACCGGAAGAAGTTGTGTGAAAAATATAAAAATAAAAAAAAATCACCAAGGCCAAAAGATTGGCTAGTAGAAAGTACTTTTGAAGAAAATATGCATCGATTAACTAATTACACCTAAAACCTGATGATGCTCGTTTCGGTTTGCCATCATTCAGCCGCAAGACTTTTACCACCTTTTACTTTGCTGAACATAACCCTTACCCAATCACTTCCAGATTATACACTTGGGAAGTGACTTGTATTCAACGGTGCTCTACGACCTAAGTAAGTCGTATGTCTACCTTCTGGATGGACATCAAGAGTTGTGATTGCTCAATTCTCTGAGCTATGTATGATTCTGTCTCTTATAGTCGTCGCCTCATATCTGAGGATCGTGATC